CCGTGACAACCGGAATCGGAACCGGAATCGGAATCGACTCCGGGTGTGTGACCGTGACGTGACGGCCGGAAACGGAGAGGGAAGGCGTGGAGCGGAAAGGGAAGGAGTCTGGTCTAGCCCAAGGGCCGGGGAGTGTCGGAGAGGACCAATGGGAATGGCGGCCAGCCATGACCACTGGAGGGTAGCGACAGGAGGGTCACTCGGAGACGTCCCCGGACGTCTCCAGAGAGGTGGGTGTGAGGGCGTGCAGCCTGGGGCGCTGCGGTAGGCACGAGCCTTAACGGCAGTAGGCCTCACCCAAAGGGAGACCCGATGACGGGGGGGTGTGGTGGCGGAGTGGGAAGCGGAGCCATGGCGAGGCTCAGCCATCCGAACGTAAGCCCGAACGCTGACATAGGTTGGAGACACCTAAGAGGTCCAGCAGGTAGAGATCGTAGGGAGACCTTGATAAGTGACAGCCCAGAGAGGCTGGCAGGCCATAGGCTCAAGGTCTAGAGGGAAGTGGTGCATCCACATCCGGAGAGGTCTCCGATGGCATTAGTGATCCCTGATGGTGACTCCGGAGAGGCTCCCGGAAAGGGGTGGCCAGGGAAGTCGAAGACTAGGGATTACTGGATGTGGGATGTGGTGCGGGCAGTGGAGGGAGAGCGTCAGGGTGTGGAGACACGGAAACACGAGCGGAGACGTGGAGACGCGAGCGGAGACGCGGCGCTTGATGGGATCAAGTGACGGCATCAGGGTTTCCCCTGACATCATCCCCCCTTCAAGCTGCGTCGCCCCGATGCAGGAAAAAAATCGGGGTCACTGAGCTTGTCCTCCGGAGTCCCTTGTCCTCCAGTGGCCAAGCTCCTGTCTCCGTCGATGTCCAGAGACTGTCCATCTCCAAGAGCCAGTGTGACGGTACCTTGGCGTTGCTCCAGTGATTGCTGTTGCCAAGGTCAACCCATGGAGTACTTGGTTCTCCACTGGTTGCGCGCCCATATTCGGAGACGCCCCGGAGACCTGCGGTCCCGGTGCCTCTCCAAGAGATGGTGCAACTACACCTTTGCGTAGCCCGGTGTGCGCCCGCTTGCGCTCTGGTCGCATGTTGCTCCAGGAGGGTCCTCTGCGAGTCCCCTCCTATACCCTCTCCATCCCCCTTCAAGAGTGCGGCGCCCCGACGCACCACAGAAAAAAAAAGGGGGTCTGCGCTTAGCAGAAGCACCAAGTACACCTCCGGAAACGTCTCCGTTTGTGACCGGAAACGTCTCCGAGCGTGACCGGAAACGCCTGTGACGTCACAGGGGCGATTCCGTCCATCACTACTGGGTTGTTGGAGATCGTTGGGCGGCAGATGACTTGCCGTGGGGTGATAGCATAGCGAGTGGCGAGCTCACTTTTACTGCACCCGGATGTCAGGTTGGGGGGGGAAAGGAATTGCAGTGTGACTCCGGACAGTGCGCTGTCAGCCGGGGCACTAAGCCTAGTGTTGCGGACTGGGTGGCAACAGCTCGACCCATCCTAGTTGTGCGGCAGAGGCGGGTTGACGTAGGCATTCCAGAAGCGATTCCATTGTTCGGGGTCCGGCTGTACAATGGGACCCTTTGAGCATCTCCGCTTGTGACGTGACCGTGACGTGACTACCGGAAACGGAAACGCGATTCCGAGCGCGTGACCGTGACGTGACGGGCGGAAAGCGGAGAGGGTTCCATGAACGGAAGGGGCACCTGCAGAGCCCTGAACTGCAGTGACTGCCTAGGTAACACCATGGTGGATCCTCTAAGGCAAGGGTACCCTCCGGGGCAGCTATGTTGACACCAGAGACGTATGAGACGTCTCCGGGGGGGTGTGCTAGATGAACTCCGATGCCATGTGAATGACATTATGGGGTGGAGTCCGTCTCCGGAGAGTGAGGGGGAAAGTCGGCACTCCGACTCAGCACCTGCCACTCGTGGCCTAGTAGGGCGGCCCCAGGCGAGCGGACTCGTCGTCTCGCATCTGGCACGGGCCTATACGGCAGTAGGCCACGCCCAGAACCTAGTGGGGCGGCAACGAGTGGTGTCATGCCAAGGTGTCGCAAGCCGATCAAAGGGATCAGCCATCTCGCGGTTATCCCAAGGTCCAGAGTCGAACTGGACGCGTCGAGCCGGACACCGTAGGGAAGGTCACCCGGGTGGTCTGATGAGAATCGGGGCCGGGTTGTGAAGCCCGCGGAGACACATGCGTAGGGGAACACGGGTGATGGAGTGTGGGAGACTTGCCTCCCAAGGAAGCCAAGCCTTTGCTCGGGGGTGTGAGCGGTCTCGTGTCAAAGGCGCGATGACAGCATCAGCGGAAAGGATCTCCGGGGTGCTGGAGACAGAGGCGAGGTGTATGGTGATGGCAGAAGGTGCGGAAGAAAGAGTCGTCGCACCAGCAAAAACACTGTGATCAGCATCTTTGGCAGTTAGAGTGGGGAGCATGCAGAGATAATAGCCATTGCAGCGACAACCGCGGAAAGCGGAATCGGAATCGGAATCGGAATCCGGAGTCGTTTTGATGCCATCAGGGCGCTCCGCATGACAGGGAAAGCCCATTCCGACAGGTGGCTGGCAGCAGGAACGGCTAGGGACAGACCAGCGGTGGCCGGAGAGGCCAGCATTAGCCATGGGTGGAGGGAAGGAAGGCGGGGCCACGGTCGGAATCGGGGGGAAGGGGGTCCGGAAGTGGTTCAGGACAGCCCGGGGCCATAGGGCGCGGGGCATGGGAAAGCTAAACCACGGCCGGAGGAGAACACCAAGGGCCGGGCAGGAGGAAGTATTGAGGCCTCACGAGGACCAAAGTGTTCGAAGGGGGCTGGGGCTGTGCAGCGCAAGGTCGGGTGGGGCCGGGACGGAGCCATCTGTCGCAATCCACCAAGAATCCTCCTGCATGCAGCCCCTCCGGAGGCCACCTCCAGGTTACCGGCAGGGGGGTGTCAGAGACTGCGGGCCCTGGCAGGGAGTTGGGAGGTGAGGTCCGTATTGGTGGGCTTGTTCTGCTGTAAGGGCAACCTCGCGAGGCTCGAAATCAGAGTCCTGAGCAGAGGGGGAATCCTTAGTGAACTACTACAACAGGAAGGGACGCTACAGACTCACCTGAGCAGAGGGGGAATCCTTAGAGAACAAGCCAAGGAGCCCTCTGCTCAGGTGCACTACTATATACTAGTGACCGGAGTAATGATAGAGTGACTGCATAGCGACGAACGACGCATGGGAGAAGTCAGGTGTCGCTAATGGACCCTAGGTGAGTGTCGAGTAGCCCTCGAAGCTCCGGAGAGGCAGGTTTGGGACCGTGATGCCAAGGGAGGAGCCCAGGCATCCTTAGAAGGCCTAAGAAGGGCTTCGGGAGGTCCAGGCTGCCTCTGAGCGTCTCCGCTTGTGACCGTGACCGTGACAACCGGAATCGGAACCGGAATCGGAATCGACTCCGGGTGTGTGACCGTGACGTGACGGCCGGAAACGGAGAGGGAAGGCGTGGAGCGGAAAGGGAAGGAGTCTGGTCTAGCCCAAGGGCCGGGGAGTGTCGGAGAGGACCAATGGGAATGGCGGCCAGCCATGACCACTGGAGGGTAGCGACAGGAGGGTCACTCGGAGACGTCCCCGGACGTCTCCAGAGAGGTGGGTGTGAGGGCGTGCAGCCTGGGGCGCTGCGGTAGGCACGAGCCTTAACGGCAGTAGGCCTCACCCAAAGGGAGACCCGATGACGGGGGCCGTGGTGGCGGAGTGGGAAGCGGAGCCATGGCGAGGCTCAGCCATCCGAACGTAAGCCCGAACGCTGACATAGGTTGGAGACACCTAAGAGGTCCAGCAGGTAGAGATCGTAGGGAGACCTTGATAAGTGACAGCCCAGAGAGGCTGGCAGGCCATAGGCTCAAGGTCTAGAGGGAAGTGGTGCATCCACATCCGGAGAGGTCTCCGATGGCATTAGTGATCCCTGATGGTGACTCCGGAGAGGCTCCCGGAAAGGGGTGGCCAGGGAAGTCGAAGACTAGGGATTACTGGATGTGGGATGTGGTGCGGGCAGTGGAGGGAGAGCGTCAGGGTGTGGAGACACGGAAACACGAGCGGAGACGTGGAGACGCGAGCGGAGACGCGGCGCTTGATGGGATCAAGTGACGGCATCAGGGTTTCCCCTGACAACGATATACGAATTGATTGGTTTCCGATAGCTAAGGCAGTTATCTGGAATTAATCCCCGCAAGCCACGTTTACCTGGAATTCGCTTTGCCCCGGTGCGCATAAGGTTTTCTTCGAACAAGAATAATTGTTAGATCGCAAGCACCTAGTCAGCCCAACTTGATCACTCATTAAATTGACTCATCATTTGGAACTGCTGTGTTTGGATTAGCATAATTTTCTACTTCTGCACGTTACGATTGAGAACTTGTTTTGCCCTGGTGCGCATTAGGTTTTCTACCCAGTTGTTTTTTTTAGTTCAGCAAGCCAGAATTAGTCATTTACAGAATTGACTCTATCTTGGTTTATTATATCCCCAAATAACCATTTCTCAAATAATCCATTCAGAGTAAAATCTGAATAACCTACCATCACCTTTTCCCACGAACTTATACGTGAAGTTCTTGGACAAAGTCGCTCCCAGAGCTTTACGTTGGAAAACAAATTTCCACTTGACAGCGCGAGCCGGGACGATATCGAACAAGGGCCCCGCGTGAATATCGTGTTAGGCAGTCGAAGGTGAGGTGCGACCCGACATCCGATGCCGAACTTCAATTTCAAGCCCGGGTTTTCCCCCGGGCCGCCGGTTTTAGTACTTGCTTGTGGCGATTTTTTGGAGGTTGGTTGGCATTTCGGCTATGGCTGATGAAATCCGGACTTATCCGCGATCATTCAACGGGCCACGCGTCCGGCGGACGAGTCAGCCCGCGCTGACGACAGGTGACGCGACGTGATGTGACGCTGTCATAATTTTTCCCTTGTCCACATCCACACACGGGTCCGGGCACGACTCATCTACACACTCAGTAACGATCCACGACGACGATGGACCCGCACTCGACGCACTCGCAGTACAACGCGCGGCCGCCGAAGGCTGGCCCGGCGGCGGCGGCGCCCGCCCGGGCGGGGGGGCGCAAGGGGAAGGAGAAGGAAGGGGCGGGGAGAGATAGGGAGAAGGGCAAGGAGCGGGAGGGCACGGTGGCGCCGTCGGGGGCGATGCGGCGGCCGATCGCGAGCAACGCGCGGGTGATGGAGGCGCAGCAAATGCAAAGGACGGACATGCACCGGGCGTTCGTGGGGAATGCGTTGGCGCAGAAGACGCTGGTGCGTCCCCGTTCTTCTTCTTATAATAGGTGTTGATGATGAACAGGGCACGCGGGAGCCGTTCGACGCGCTCGTCGCGCAGTTCTCCGCCAAGCCGCCGCAGCCCGCGCAGCTCAGGCTGTGGCTCGGCGCGCTGGGGGCGGCGGTGTCGAGGTTGGAACGGACGCATGCGGCGGTTGTGCAGGCGGCGGTGGGGCTGCCGTGGGCGGCGATGGACGGCGCGACGGCGAAGGCGTACACCGCGTTCGCGGGCGCGCTGTTGAGTGCGAAGCCGGAGTATCTGAGTCTGGTGCTGGGGAAGATTGTTAATGGGTTCACGTATCGTGCGTCATCCGTCCTCTTCTCTTCTTCTCTAATTGTCTGTCCAGACGCCGGCGCACTGGCCGCAGACCCCGAGACGCCGCTGACGAGACGGGTGATCTACGAGCGGCAGCACGCACTTTTGGAGCATCTCCTCACCTTGGTGCCGACCGCGCCGGGGACGCTCGGCCCGCTGCTCGCACGGGCGTTCCCGCACAAGCGCGAGCCGCCCGCGGCGCACACCGCGTTCGTCCGCAACGCCCTCCGCGTCGCGCGCTACTGCCCCGAGTTGGAGGATAGAATATTGGCGACCGTCGTCGACCGCGCGCTGCAGATCGACGTCGAGATCCAGGTCGAGCTCGAGGAGCTCGAGGCCGCGCAGGACGAGGGCGGCGTGTTCGAGATCGAGATCGACCCGTTCGACGTGCTCGTCGGCCAGGAGGAGGAGGAGGACAGCGGTTCGGACGACGAGGGGGGCCTGGAGGAGATCGAGTCGGACGACGAGGGCGCGGCGCGGAAGGACCCGGTGACGGACGTGCGCCATGTCCAGGCGATGGTGCGCAAGCTCGATGCGGTGCTGGATCTCGTGTTCGAGCACCTTTCGCGGAGGGCCGGCGATACCCCGGACGCGGCGTCGGGAGATCGGCCCGCGCTGCCGGAGCTGCCGCCGCTCCCGCCCTTATCCCCCGCGCGCGCGAGCTCGCCGTTCCTGCTCACGCCGCCGTCGCCACCGCCTCCATCGACCTCTACACCGATAACACCCCCGCCCCCGCCGCGCTCGCTGCACACGCAGTTCCACACGCTCCTCGCACTCTTCGACCGGCTCATCCTGCCCACCTTCCGCTCGCGCCACACGCAGTTCCTCCTCTTCTACCACGCCGCGCTCGCGCCCGACTTCACGGACGTCTTCCTCGGCCTGCTCGTCGAGCGCGCGCTGCTCCAGCCGGGCGCCGCGGCCGTGACGCGCGCGGCGGCGGCGGCGTACCTAGGCAGCTTTGTGAGTCGGGCACGGAGCGTGGGGCGGGCGGGCGTGCGGGACGTGGTCGGCGTGCTGTGCGAGTACGTACGGGCGCAGGTGGAACAGGGTGTGGGCGACGCGGTGTTCTACGCGGCCGCGCAGGCGCTGCTGCTCATCTTCTGCTTCCGGTGGCGCGACCTGCGCGCGGAGCCGGACCCCTCCGCTGATCCGGAGACGGGCGCAGGCGCAGGCGGCGGGGCGTGGCTCCCCGCGCTCGGGGCCGTCCCGCGCATGGTCGCGTCCCCGCTGAACCCGCTGCGCGTCTGCGCGCCGGGCGTCGTGCGCCAGTTCGCGCGGGTCGCGCGCGCGACGGGGTTCGTGTACGTGTACACCATCCTCGACGCGAACCGGCGCGCGGGGGCCGGGCCGTCAGGCGCGGGGGCGGGGAGAGCACAAGGCCCGGGGCCGGGCGAAGGCGGGGGCGGGGGCGGGGAGGAGCTGCACGCGTTCTTCCCGTTCGACCCGTGCCGCCTGCCGCGCGCGGGGCGCTGGGTGGCGGGGATGTACCGCGAGTGGGGCGAGGTGGCGGTCGAGCTCGGGGGGGCGGAGTCCGACGACGACGACGAGGAGGACGAGGGGGGGAGCGACGGGGAGGGAAGTGATGGGGCGGGCGAGGGCGGGCTGCCGATGAGCGTGGACGACGCAGGCCTCGGCGCGTCGCTCGGCGCGATGAGCATCTCGCCCGCGCGCGCGCCGGTGGCCGTGGCCGCGTGGCGCCGGTGAGCGGGGAGCGGTGCAGCGAGGGGGGGGGATGCTGTCGATTGTTTTCTTTGCTGTTTGTTTGTTTGTTTGTCTGGATCGGGATTGGGATTGGTATTGGTACTGCTAGATGTGGTGTTCTGCGCAAAAGTATATATAATCGCGCGTAGCGTCTACCAAGAAAGTGATCGATGGCAGCGCTGACTCAGCAGCCCATCGCATCACGCTCACTCCCACCTACTCTCACGCCACGATCGATCGAGATCGCCCGGCCGGACCCGGACGCGGCCCGCAGCGCCACGTGCGCATGCCCGGCCCGCAGCACCACGTGCCCTGCCAGATCACCACGAGGCCAACGCAGCGCGGCAGGCAAAACGTGATTCGGCCCAGGCTCGAACTGAGGACCTCCTGTGAAAGCGCCGTCTTTCGCGACATGTTAGACAGGTGTGATGAACCAACTACACCACCGAACCGCTGAATGTAGCCTGCGGGGTAGGGGGAGGAGCGGGAGAGGGCGTGGCGTGAGGAGAGTGCCGGGAGCTGCGTGTGCCGCGCATATATGTGATTGCCGAGCAGAGAAACTGCAGGGGCGGGAAGGGAATGCTCGGGCAAGCAATTGGATATGTGCATACTGATACACAGCAACTCTGAGTCCCTCTGGCCAGTCTGCTTGGAACCAAACACCACCACCACCACCACCGGATGTTTCTGATACCCTGTTGGGCAAGGTCAATCTTGCCTCGAAACCATCACGAAGACTGTAAGCTCATTTCAAGGCCACCTAAGAGTTGTGTAGAGCCCTGTTGAGCCCTGAGAGTAAACTTGGAGCATCTGAAAATGCACAGGATATAACACCCAGTGTCGCCCATTCTGATATATACTGGGGACTTGGGCAAAAAACACCTCAACAAATAAAACTGGAGCATTTTTTTTTTTTTTTTAAAAATACAAATGTAATAATAGGCAGAAAATGGCTATCTTTATTGACTGGAAAAAAGAGTTGAAAAGGTTCCATGGATAAAAAAGAAGCTTCCCACTATATAGAACAAAAAAGGTTGTCTGTAGGGTAAAAAAATGAACCTTTTTGATCACAATGAGCCTTTTTATATCATAATATTGGGTTTTTTTGTCAAGATTGCTCTCTAATAAACTAGGTCTTCTTGAATCTTTTTCCTCAACAAATGAAGGTGTTCCTTCTTAGCTGATTATTATCCTCATTAAAATCCCACAGTTTTCTTCCAAATCCTGGGCCTCAGGGTGAAAGATGGCTTGTTACTGGCCCAAATAAATTGGGCCAATCTTCCAATAAATCCAGGGCCCTCATTTCCTTGTATGTGACTTGAAAGTTGTCTTATTCAAGCTATCTCCGCATCCCGAACTACCACTGCTTGTCCGACTGTGTCTCGGTCAGGCCGGCAGTGGTGTGCGTAAATATATTCCTCTGAGTGGTATGCCAGGCAGGGTCAATATGCTCCTACCACCAACAATGTTACAATATTATCCGGGATAATTAGATTGTACACCTGGGTGACTTGCCCAGTGACGATGAGTGAGTACTAGCATTGATATTACTTGGAATGGTTCAAGATAGGGCTGACAAGCAGCATAGCCAAACTGATTAGAAGTAAATAAAAAGTGTCCTACATATACAGCATTGTAGTAGTAATTGGGTCTGAGACTAGCAAATGTGGGTATTTCAGATTCTAAATTATACTGGCAGGAGTATGGGCTTAAGCTTGATTTAACTGAGAGTAAGATCCCTTCAAAGCATTGAATCACATCAGGGCTTCTGCTAAAGATTATTCCCAAAGCAAAAACATAATTCTAATATTTAACAGCTTTAATTGATAATCAAGAAAAGAACACTTAATCTGGTCAAGGAGAAAAAAAGTTCTGTATCAGAGCATAACATCTAGAATATATTGAGACTAACTTTTTTTATGACCATGATTTATTAATAATAATAAATGTGTTGGCAATCAATGCAGGTCAGTCCAGGAGTTGCTTGGGATAGATATTGACGTGGGGGCAGGTGTTGAAATTCCGAGTGATCCGGAGAGCGATGGGATCAAAGTGAGCGCAATCAGTTTGCAATCACACTCCTGTGAGGGATCTGTGCGTTAGGGCAAACGATGCCCTACGCTGACTATCTATTCTGTTTATATACTAGTTATACATTCTTCTAGTATATTCTCAGGCAATCAGGAAAAATATCAGTCAGCAGAAAGTGGAAAGTGCCAGAACATTCCGGCGAGTCACACTGTGACCATCAGAACTTCAACACTCCCCCATGACGAGCCGCTCCCCCATTCCGTCCGTGCTCCCCCATCAACTGATTGCCGTCCATAGATACCTCTGGCATCATGTAGTACACCAAGTTACGCAGCCCTTTGGCAGTCCGTCGCCGGCTCGCGCGCCTCATCCGCAAGTGTCAGCACACTCGGATTGCTGAGGCCTACATGTCCAGATCGTCACGGTCAAAGTACTGTTTGGGTTTTGGACATGGGTGCCGTCGGGAGTGAATATCCAGGGTGGGAAGAAGGTGGGTGAAGGATTAGAGTTGCTGTAGGGTAGGTGGGGGGTATAGTCGATGAAGGAAGTGCCAGTGACCATGGGTGCTTTCATCTTTTAGAGCGTCGTCGTCGTTCCGCGGTGGAAGCAGTAATGAGTGCGGGAGGACGGCTGACGGGTGCTGACAGGCCGCGGGAATGCCAGGTAAATGGCGCATAAGCAGCGGGCAGCATGGCACTCGCTCTGATCGTGAGCGGGTAGCCAGTGGGACAGAGAGCAGGTCCCAGAGGGTTGATCTGGCTGAGTTGGGAGCCAGGTCGGAAGGGGAGCAATGCGCAGCGTCGAGTTCGCGGGAGACCAGCCATACTCCGGTTGCAAGCGGAAGACCGAAGGTGAGACAGCGGTTGCCAAGTCCCGGAGTGGTGCTATTAACGAGAAGAGTCCAGCACGCCGGCGGCGTCAATGCCGACAGTTCGATCGCATCATAGCGATGGGGGTAGCGTGGTTGCCGGCCTGAGAACACAAGAGTGGCGGCAGCCAGTTGCGAGAGGCAGAGGGCGGCGGCCTCAAGCGGGGAACGGGCTCGGCGCGGCGTCGATGAATCCGAGATGTCGTGGGAGCGCGTGGGAACGCCAAGCGAAGAAGCGCGCAGTGACAGGGCTTCGGCGCGTGGAGCCGATGGGCATGGCCAAGGGATAGCGGTCGACGGTGAGGTCGGACAGCGGCCAACGCATGCGCGGGCAGAGGCGCGATGCTGGGCGGGCAGAGGCGCGATGCTGGGCGGGTTAACGGTGCCGTGTACCGTGATCGTTTGTGTTGAAATTCCGAGTGATCCGGAGAGCGATGGGATCAAAGTGAGCGCAATCAGTTTGCAATCACACTCCTGTGAGGGATCTGCGCGTTAGGGCAAACGATGCCCTACGCTGACTATCTATTCTGTTTATATACTAGTTATACATTCTTCTAGTATATTCTCAGGCAATCAGGAAAAATATCAGTCAGCAGAAAGTGGAAAGTGCCAGAACATTCCGGCGAGTCACACTGTGACCATCAGAACTTCAACAGCAGGAAGATACAAGGAAAGACTAAAATGTATTCAATGGGTATAGCAACTTATATATCAGCATATTGGGGGGTGGTGGAGCATTGTGATCCTGTTTCAATGAAATACATCTTACTTAAGCCTCAATATTTTTCAAACAAAAATTATTACCTGAATTGTCATATATAATAGGCATTTTTTCACTTATCTCTGATATATTGTGTACATTTTGCTGCTGTGCCTGGTAGATCTGGTCTTATATTTTGTGGTATATTTGCCATATTTATTTGCTACAGATTATAGTTATGAAATGGTCTGTTGATATATATATTAGCTTCGACTCATATCCTATCTAAGAACTTGATATGTGATCCAATTACTTGCAAATCAAGTCTACGTTCTTTAAGTTTTATTTTCCATCTGTTCAAGTTATTAAAATGTAAACTATTATTGTCCCTGGTATGAACTGTATGAGTTATCCCAAGTACTAGGATTATTTACATTTGTTACCAATAAAATAATATATCTTGAACATGCATATATAACTTTTGGTTTACCATATGGAATACTACACAAAATACTTTCTGGGCAAGCTGTTTTCTTTTGTAAGTATTCTAGTATTTTAAAGCAAGAGTCTCTTTGACATAAGAGTATGACAGTGGCATGAGTGATGTGGTGATTGTCACAAATCAGGGCACTTTCGGTTTGGTCAGTCTCGGGCGGTACATCAGGAAAAAAGTGGATCGATTGTAAGCGCTGTTAGATCAGATAATCATGATCTAGCTTGGTAAGCACTTATAGAGTACCACAAGTGCTTAGAGTGCACTCCCCAGGGTTTTAGTGATTTATATACCTTCTAAAAGCACTTCAGCTAAGTTATAGTATACTCCCAATCATTTTGGAGAGAATACAACTGCAATATCATTCTTTTAATATAGCTACAATTGAAATATCATTCTTTTGCTATACTTGTAAGTGTCTAACTTGAATATATATTATTTACAAAGACTTGCAAACCTACTGAAAAAAAACTTGTGATATGTCTGCAGATGATTGCATATTTTGATTTAAATTAAAGTGAAATATCATAGTTATCTGCAGCCTGTGCATCCCCAATGTCCTCCCCATCCTCAGGCCCTAAATCAGGCTCACCAGAGTCAGAGTCAGACTCAGACTCACTGTCCCACTCTGAGTCTCTGTCAGAACCAGACTGTGCAGCCAAATCCTCCTCCTCCTCCTCCTCTTCAAGGTCTGAGTTGTCCAGCTCTGGTTCCAAGGGCTCGTCCTGCCCCAGGACAGACCCCTCTGATTCAGTGTCAGTCAGAATCTCATTAACCTCACCATCAGACCACTCCTCAATCTCCATTTCAGCAGCATCTGGCTCAGGGTCTGGAACAAAGACCTGATAGGAATGGCCGACACCACCACCAAGATAGCGCATCAGCATGTCGCGATCAACAAAGCTAATTGATGGGATCAGACCAGAGTTGCCTAATCTGGTAATGACTCACAAGTTCACATAGTGGTAGAGCCAGTCTTGTTGACCATTAGGCCGGCCAAGTGATGGGATGTCGGAGTTGTCGTTGAGCCCGCGCGCAAAGGCAGGGATAAGATGGGCTTCACGGATGACCTCGTCAGGGTTGACAAAAGCATATGCGGTATCGTCAAGCTCGGGAACAAACTCGAGGCGGTGAAGTCGTCGTCGTTTAAATCCGCCGCGCGCCAAGATTTGTCTAGCTGGAAGCGGCGGACCCAGAGAAAGGTGACAGGAACAGCAGCTGAGACATAGCCACGGAGTTTGTGTTGAACGTCACAATGGAAGATGCCAATGACACGGGAGTACTCGAAAGGGTGGTCGTCACTGGCGTCCTCGGGCGATAAGCGTCATAATATCAGCGTGGGTTCGTGAGTTCATAGAATCTTGCCCTCGACGCACGTTGTAAGTCGTAAAGTTGACTCGGAGAATTTTGTGAATATAGATGCGGTTGTTGACAATGAACAGGTTGTTACGGTCATTGGCGGAATATTCAGATCCATCGCTTGAGTAGTCTGGGTGCAGTATACGTGCCAGCAGATGATTTTTTAGGTCACGTCGGAAGTTCTGTAAGGTTGGATCAGTAAGATCTAAAGTGTTCCTGAGAACTGACCTTAATGGCTGGGTCACCAGTATTTTCATCCAACCAGTTGTCCAGAGTGAAATAAAAGTTACGACTTTGGGAAATATGATGAGGGAAATCGGGTGGCGTGTACGGCAGAGATTCGGAGTCAGCAAAGCTCAGAGTAGTGCCAGTTGATTTGGCTCGCGCCTTGGCTGTGCCACGTTTGCGCTTGGATGAGGTGTTAAGAGTTGCGATTGGAGGCGCAGCAGCAGCAGCCTGGACCTTGGTTTGAATGCGTAGTAGCTCGGCCTCACGACACTCGAGATTAGAGATCTGAGTAACGGCACCATTCTTGCTGGTCCGGCTATAAAAGCCCTTGCCTCACTTGTGTTCGAGTTCCCCCTGAAGTAGAGTCAGGTCAAGTGTTAGAAACTGGTTGAACACGTACTGGTGCAGTCGAATATGAGTCAGTTGTTCCAAAGAAGGGGATTTCGAGTGGGTAGTAACCAATCAGATGCATTTTGACAGTCGTAAGGTTAAACGCTTTGAACTGTGGGCTGGAATCAACGGTTGATGTTGGGGCCTTCCGTGCAGCTTTCTTGCGGCGGGCAGCCTCCTCCCGAGGAAGCTCCTTCGTGACAAAGTGTTCGCAGGTTGATTTGGCAAAACGGCAGAGTTGGTAGCCCAAGTCCTTTGTTGCCTCCCGGAGTCGCTCCAGTGTCGCATCTGTATGCATACGAAGCTTGGCTAGCGCATGAAAGTACGCCATACTGAACAACAGGTCTTGGATGACATCATTGTCACCATAGACATCGTCGTCCAACAGGCCTTCAAACACAGGCATGGCGCACTGGTAGTGATCAGCCACCGCTGACATAGCCTAAAAGTAACGCACCTGCAATAAGTCCTCGTAATCCCGGGCAGCAAGGCGTTTCATTGCTGACGTGTTGTTTGTAAACCGCCAAATTGTGTCTCGACCAAAGGCTGGCATCTGTCGATAGCGCCAGTTGAGGCTAGTGATAGCGTCACCAGCGTTGGCAACCAAAATGCGAATCAGATGGACAAAGGTCATTTTCCAGACACCAAGCTCCAGCTCGTGCATAAGATCAGGAGCTAGCATCTGAAAGATGTCCCACGTGAAGGTAGACACATTGCTGAACGCATTCTGAAAAGCGGCTAAGTAACATGCCAGATATCAGAAGGCAGCATACCATGACAGGAACGTAGGATTCCGGTCCCAGGATACGCTTGACAGCAGCCCCGTATGGGGCCAGGTTCTTCTCGTATACCTTAGCTCGGGCACGTCGAACAAGGCCACGATGGCGATGATCATCAACACGGTGCAGTTTGGCTCGTCGTTTGTTGTCGTTGACTGTGCCCAGTTGATTGAATTGGTCAGACGTCAGAAGACATCGGGGGCAGGGACAGCGGCTCAGACTGCGTATTGTGGCCAGAAGGACCCTGTCAGTCATTAGTTAGGCTCACTCGTTTGTTGATATCATACTTCTCGGGATAGTCGGCTGAGTATGTGAAGACGCGGAAGTAGAAGCGCCGCCAGATATTGTCAGGACAGAGAATTTCGATCCCGTGCTCACATGCCTCCATGAACTTGTCGTCGAGGATAAGCCGCCATATGGTGTGGAAAAGTTCCCGCCGACAGTGCGTAAGCATCTCCGAAGTTGGCGCTTCACCCGTTGTCGTCTTGAACCAGTCAAAGAAGTCATCCGCAAGCTGAAGCTGAAATCAGCAGTGACACGACCATGGGAAGAGAACTAACCTTTGGCATATAGGCAATGTGATGGCAGGCTCGTGCTCGTGGTTTCCCCCGCACCCACTTCGACTAATTGCCAAAGAAGAGGTAGATCGGCCAGAGCGCTGCTGTCCCAAAGTTGGCGAGCTGCGTTGAGTCGGACCAGAACATCAGAGCCACTATACAGCGCTCCAATGTGCAGCCTGGCTCCCGTGGGCTACGCTGGAGCTCCTCGTATGTCTGAATATAGGCGTCAGATGAGTAGATTTCGTCGTAGACGCGCTGTGTTGGCCCATCGGTAACCGGCTGCCACCATTGGCGAAAGGGCGTGTAGTGGAAGAAGCGGGAGCTGGAATCGCTTAGAACAGCCTTCACCGTCTCGGTCAGGCTGCGCAAGCGGAGCCCTTCGATAGTGTACTTGAGCGGACCCTTCATCCCTTTTCGTGGGTCGGGGACGTCTATTTCGACACTCGCAGATCGCCATCCATCCTTGACCTCGCTCTCAGTTCCCCCCGAATCCATCCCTTCCCCCCGGAGATAGTCGTCAAATCGTTTGGTTTGAGCTTTAATGTCGAATGTCATAAGATCAGCAACATTGAAGAGCGGGGACTTGAGATAGTCCAGCAAACGGGCACATTCTCCAATGCTCTTCATCGCTGAGCCTGTCCACATCCAGTTCATGAGACCCCAGACTGTGAAGTTGCCAAAAGGCCCATACGAGGCTGATGCGCCCAAGGGCGGCTGCGGGCCGAGAGTCTGTCGTGGCTGGAAAGGACTCCACGGAGGCGGTCGGGACATCAGATTGATCAGCGAGTGAGGTATTGCCGTCAGGGTTATGAGAGGGAGTGGATGGGTACTCGCGGAAAAGACCAAAGCCATTTCGCGATGTGTTGGCAGACTCCCACCGAAATGGCACCGACTGATCAGGCTCCTCGAGTTCGTCATCTCTATCGGGTGGAGGTGGTGGAGGTTCCGGCAACTGCGCCAGGATTTTCCATGTCGGGCGTCGATTTCGTATGGGTCGCGAAGGAGATGGTGGAGGGAGTGGAGGATCTGACTCTGGCTCAGGATGCGTTTGTGGGTGGGCCATATCGGTGTTATCAGGCTCCGGCATCACAGCAGCGTTGTTGTCGAAGGTTGCAAGAGAGTCAGAGGTAGCGGCGTAGCCACTAGCAGTTGAAGACTATAGAACGATTATAAGCTCCTGCGGTCATGGACAACAAGACAGACCAACCTCAGCAACAGGAATATCCGCGTCTCCTATCGTGACAGTGGTCGCTAGCCCAAGTTCCCGTTTTCGACGTTTCTTCTGTTGGTGAGTTCTGAGTGCTGCATCGAGCGAGCTGTCAAAAGCGAGCAAGCTCGAATGACCCGTCCGGCTCTGGTGATTTGCTAGCTTCTTCTCGGCTTGCGCATCCTTCGCATCCACCCACCAAGAACACGGACCATTGGGTTGACACTGAAGCTTTGACAACATGAGAAGGGCGACAATGAAAAAGCAGCTCGCGATATGCATGCCCGCAGGTGCAGGCTTGTCGATGGTGGTCGGGTCTGAGATAGATCGAAACAGGGGGAAAGGGGCAGTGAATGAATTTGTCGTCAAATCTACACCAAGGCATATTCTAACATTGGTCCGTCAAAGTCTTCATTGTCTTCGTATGTCTCGTCCGTAAGATATCTAGAATCAGCACACGGGAGCTCCGACGGAGAAAGGTGAAACTATGCGGGGTTAATATCGATGAGTCGAGAACAAAACACTTACCCTTTGCGCCCAAATGACAAGATTACGAGCCTAATTCACATCAGCTCATCACAGACGAAAGGAAAACACAATGATGACGCACAATCGCAGCATTGGGTAAAGATGTCGATAGCAGCCAACAGCGACCAATGGCGAAGTTCCTTGAGACAACCCGGATATGCGTCACAAATGACTGCGAACACCACCAAGGCTTCGGAGAGTTCTCTCGTGGGTCCCATCGTCAAAATATGGCCCGCGGACTCACCAAGCCCGAAATAACCGGGCGCTTGAATGCCTCCCAGAGAGAACTGAATAATTTGGAAGTAGACATCCATGCTCTACCAAAAGTTATAGCAAAGAACAAGACGGCAGCAGTACTACTCACTGGATTGTACTCCCAGGATATTTCCTGTAGCGCTTGTGTGGTAGAAAGTTCGCGCGAAAAGTCGTAGAGTTTGACCAGCGTGTTTGTTGGCTCGGCAGGTAGATACTGGTAGGCTGGCCCGGGGTTGTAGCGCAGTTCTTCGCCTGCTGTTGACAGCGGTAAGCTGCCGCTACCCAGCAGAGTTCTGCCTGAATAGACAGTAGAGAGGCGGGGTTGGATATCATGATGGTTTGGCTGTGTTGTCGTATCAGTAGACGAAGAAAGTCAGTAGACGAGAAAAAACTGACTGTTGAGGGTTGTACCACCGTGTGGCCGGCCCCGATATCGGTAGTGAAAGATCCAGATTGAGTAGGGGACTCCGTATCCGACTCGTAGACTTCGCTCCAGTTGTCGGGCCATGGCCCATCGTAGCCGCCAAAATGGGTCGCGAGTTGCCGACGAAGATCAGGGACGGGACTTCTCGCGAGCGCTCGTAGGATTCTTGCCTCGATACGTGGCGAGAGCTCTGGCGAGGCCATAGCTGGCAAAACCTTGGCCAAGCCCGACGGAGGCAAATTTTGCATCAGCACCACATGGGCGGTGCACAATGCCCAGCCCCAGAGTGGATCGCTGAGTACCGTTGGCCGTAGAGCTGTGTCACCCATTGTGTAAGAGATGAAGTCGGGGAGGGGGAGGGGGATAGTCTGGTTTGTTTAGAGTTGCGGAGTGGGACTTGTGGCAGAGGGAGGAGGAGCGGCGGCAGAGCGCGCGCCTTATCGATGGCGGCGTTATCGATAAGACGCGCGCAGGTGACTACAGCAAATGTTTCAGCAGGGAAATTTGTATAAGACAGTGGACGCACCGGTAGAATGGCCAACGTTCCTTTTTCCCCTTAGCCCATGCCCCCGCTCAGTGACCAAACTAACACCTTACCCGCCCAGGGCACCATCCTACACGTACTGGAGCAGCTAACACGCTCCAAAGTCGGTGTCAGAACGCGTCGCAGGTGAGTGGTATTTCGCGTCGTCGTGTTGTTGACTGAAAGCTGGCAGCGTGCCAGATTCGGATGACCCAGATGATCCGGCACCCAGCGGCACGGCTTCCACAGACCCTGCCTCTGACGGCCATGGCAGCCTGAAGTGGTTTGGGCGCAACGCCGGCCGCAACTTTGGGCCCAGTCTCAAGCTTCTTCCCAGCTTCAACCGCCAGCTAGTTCGCCTTACACGCGACGAACTCGACCCTGCGCCAGTCGAAGACCCCAAGATGTGAGTGACGGAGTTTCTTATGACCAACCTGACTCTTCATAGTGTCGCACTTGACAACTGGGTGTGGAATTACTTCAAAGAACGCATTGCCAACTTCGAGGACGACCAGATCGCCATCGGCGGCAACAGCAACCTCCGCAAAGCATATTGCACTGAGGTATGTGGCCGTCTCTGTCCTGTTCATGGCTGACAACTCTTCAGTTACACGCGGGCATGCGCGGTTCACGAGCTGACGACGCCCGTGTGCTCCGTGTCAATATTATCGAGCTACTCAAGATCTTATGCAAAGACAAGGCGGACCGAGAGTCTCTGTCTAAGCTAACTCCCAGCATCAAAGTCGACCGCGGCTTTGTCAACGACGTTACCGGACGTCTGTTGTGTCCCGCCAAACTCACCCCGGATGCCAAGTATGTCCTGTCCAAGACTTGGTTAATCTAACCTTGTCCTCAGCACCCTCAACAACATTCGCAAAGGCAACACAGTTGTTGAGGCTGTGGACTTCCCGTGGCTTGTTTACCCATTCGAGCATATCTACGACGCGGGTGACATCGAGGCTGGATTCATGGAGAATCCATTGCTTCATATGGTACATTCTCTACTAGTAATCCTGTTTCCAACCTCTGATGACTTCAAAGGCTGCGCGCGTCATCTACCTGGGGCTGCAAGCTGCCACGAGCGAGCGACAAGAATCCCGCAGGGCCGGTGATGAGTGCGGAGTGGGGACAAAGCAAATGAGCCTCTAACTAACCAAACCAACAAAAACAACCAAAACTCCACTTGAGATAGAGAGAAAGTTGTATAATGTCGAGTAGGAAAAGTCACAAAACCCAAAATATCGTCGACTCCTTGTGCGAGAACAGACCCCTGTGAACAGAGCCTTGGCACAAATGTGTAAGGTTGTAGGGTTGATACGAGTTTCTTGCGAAAAACGTTGATTTGTTGTGCCCCAAAGCGTACTATCGACGAAACTCAGCAATAGAGAAGCGCCAATACGATGCCCGGAGAGTTTATACTCGTTGGATCAGGACTAACTGCCTTAAACCCTCTGAGTTGTCTCGAGTCAGGAACTAACTGCCTTAAACTCTCGACCAGCAACCGAAACCCAATAAACAGCAACCGGAACTCTTGTATTCAGCAACCGAAACCCTCAACCAATAATCCTTCCGACGCGATAATACTATTTCGAAAGAGCTAGCAAGATAGATTTGACGAGCTAGATCCCCAGATGCACCTAGTAGAGCGGGGCAATCCGTGAATCCCCCAAATACAAGACAGTGATATAAATACTAAAACGAAATTGATAGAATCAAGGAAAATCTCGAGTAAGAAAAGTCGTCCATGTGCATAATTGTATAGGTATCGTTTCGCCATACGGCCTAGAGTCGAAAATCCAGGTCCAGATGACTGGTATCGCGTGTATTGGAGTCAATGACCTGTGTAAATCTTCCGTGTTCGCGACCATCTAGTTTTGCTTGTGAAGAATCCCTCGATCTTGAGTAGGATAAGTGGATAGCTCTGCTTCCCAGCTTTCGATTGACACCCATAACTCGTATCTTGTGCGTATGGCCTCAGCGGTAGTTGTCCCAACTCTCCTGGCGCATTTCCAATGTTCAGATGATCAGTTCCTCGACAGTGTTTTAGAGTCGCCGTTGATCACAGGTCCAGGCCCCAATCAATTGAGTAGGTTTTCGCCGTTCAACCGTCCCTTGGCACTCCCGATCCTCCAGCATGATCCGAAACCACGTTCCAATGATGTCAGTCATCGATACCAACAGAGATAGGGGTGGCCCTAGTCTAGGAGTTGTCGATCTCGAGTCTCCACTGAGCGCCAAACCGAATATGCCTTTAGAATACACTCCCTTTGGGTATTTTGCATAGAATTGGATGGATTCTAGCGAGAAACGGGCTCTGCGAACTTTTCCTAGTCAAGATTTTGGAATCACCATGAGCGATTTGATAGGATTTGACTGGATTTTGATAGGTTCTTGTGCAGGTAACTCCCTAGTTGACCATTCGGGACTCATGTCAACTCTGAGACGTGCGCTGAGCAACAAAATCGACAAAAATAGTCGTTTCCTGGTCTGTCCCAGACTGCGGCTTATCACCGGTAACGCGGCACTCAATGGAATCACGGCGCTCAATGGCCGCGAGATAGCCTACGTCGCTCTCCAAGTATGACTAATTCACTTATATCGCCATTGCTCATTTTTTTTTCAGGTCCGCTTTGCCCTCTCTTCTGCGGAAAAATGGAGTGCCATAGATGGCCTCTTCGACTACAGACCATTTTACACAAACCTTTGCGACATCCTCGATGACCCCGCCAGCCAAGATATCATCGACAAGTTTAATTGGTATGTTTGTTGTCCATCCTTTTTAGTATTCTCTAATTTCTCTGGTATAGTGCTGTGTTTGGCGAACGGCATGTTAGTCGAGTGCGCCGCCACGACGAGAGCACTGGCCCCAGCGACTACGAGCTGCTGCAGCAGCAGCGTGCAGCCAAACGTGCCCGGTTGGCAGTCGAATCGACGGGTGGGGGTGCGGCAGGGCCGGGGCCGGGGCCGGGAGCGAGTGCAGGAGCAGGGACGGCAGTGTAAAATAAACCAGCGGGATCGTGTTCGAGTGTATGCCTGTGTGCAATCAATTCTTTATGTACAAACCCCAAGCTACTAGTGAAAGCAAGCAAAGCAATGACTGATATTATCTGTCCCAGCTCCATATACAAACTACAATATTGCTTGCCCTATCTACAAGTAGTGTAAGAGTGGAGGTATATTATATGTGCTTTTGAATAGTTATAAACCTGAATATAGATGTTAGTTTACACAAGTATTATAGATCTCATAAGCATTGCAGTACACTTATAGACCTTGAGGTGGGTTACAAGCACATTTTATTATCTCTAATCCAGTTGGGAGTTTGCCTGCATTATGGGCAGTTGTATTCATATATTACAGTTTATATGCAGTGGTAATTACTTCCCGTTTTTCCTGATGTATAAGCAAAACTGATAAATCAGTTTGTGAATATATTTGGTTTTATATATGGAAATTACCTTATTATGTGACTCAAAAATTACCTTATTTGCTAACTTTTTGAGTTGTATGCAAGGAGATCCAGATGTGATCAGTTGCCCACAGTTAATACTGGAAATGCTAATAAAAATCTTGCTTCAGGCTGCCATTCTTTGTCTGAATCCCTGGTGTGAGTATAATACAGAGCAATGATTTTGATATATGTAAACTCAACATAATAACATTTATTATATGGACTTGTATTAAATCAGAGCTTTGTGATTAAATTACAGACAAACTTCATGCTATCTTTTCATTTGAAAGTGTCACACTTGTGACATTATCTGAGAACTTCCGTGCAATGGTGTGGAAGGCAAGAGGACCTTGTTTATCTAAGATAATTTCTGATTAATATGTATACATTCATAGCTTATTAATACAACTCATCCCCTTGAAAATAGGCAATATATATATATCAAAAAAAAAAAAGTAATATACTTATAAGAAATTAAGTAATATATAAGAAAACAAGTAATATATATTTCTGCTGTTCATATTGTGTAGAGCACCTCTAGAGCTTGAGCAGAACTCAGAATATGTGACCGGATATAAATTAAAATGAACTAGTGTAGCTTAGGGTGCCATTTGCCAGTGGTGCTAACATATTCAACCCTCATTAATATTATTAGCTTTAGTTGCAAAGAGACCTTGACCGTTTTGATCACATCACATTCAATACTTTAACACACAGGCAGAACTGTAGCGACTGGGGTTTTTTCTTGCTAAATTTTTACATCAGGCATTTTTGCAGATCCTAGATATTCATTTTTCCAGCGGGCAAGCTAGCTTTTAGGGAGCACCCGTTTGTCAGTGGTTCCAGCCTGAGGTTGAATGTTGATCACACAAAATTTTCAAGGTTTATTGGGCCACAAGCCACAGACAAGCTGAACATCGTGAAAGGAATCACATTGTCGTCCTGGATATAATACTCACTACATGTTAAACGACGCTATGTACCGTGACCGAGGCCTTCAGTGCCTTCCGCGCCGTCCACGGCTGGGGCCAGACCTGTTGGACGTCGCGGTCTGGGTTTGGACTGTACGAGATTGAGATCGTGTCGCAGGCCGCGAGGGACCAGCACTGCCGCTGGCTTCAAGTTCCGGTATCTGGGTGTAAGGTTTCAGCCTCTTGCTGGGTGTCTCCTCCCCCGCATCGGCGCGCGCCCGCTTCTGGCCCGTGCTCTGCCAGGTGGACTCGTCCGTGGCGTTGATGACGGTTTGCACCTCCTTTGACGGCGGCACGAAATCGATCGCCGGGTCCGTACCGGTTAGCGGCCACCACTGATGAGCAACACATTTTTTGAATATCCGCAAGACGTGAGGGTGATCCATAGGACGGACCGGCTCCCGTCCCGGCCGGCTCGCAGACTGCTCATGACCGTCGACATCCTCCGAGTCATCCGAGTCGTCGACTAGGTACTCCTCCTTCTCCTCGCTGTCGGGGTTCTGATCCGCGACTTTGCGCCGGAGATTTGTCGCAAGCATGTACAGCGGTTTGTTTTTGGCAGCGTCGACTGGGACCCGCCGCACAAGGTAGCCTTGCTTCATGTCGGGGCCAAACGGGTCGAAAAGGTGGCCACAGGCAGACGAACCACGGGAGTCATTGTGAGCTGTGTGACGGAGTATCATCCACATCAACAGCCAGTATACCGACTCGAGATCGTGATGTGCCGCGTGCTGAGTCACGGTGCGCATCAATTCAATTGCCATAAACGGTCGGGTGCCCTGAAGTTTAGGGTTAATATCGTTATAAGAAGCAAAACGAATGCGAGAAAGGCTTACTGTCATATCACTCAATGCCTTCTCCACGTATTCCAAAACAGCTTGCTGGCGGCTTTCAAACATCTGATTGAACCTTTGCGCGCCGTCTGCCGTGAACTCGGCATAGTCCCAGTCAAGTAGAAACCCTTGTGGCATCTCGCCCTCCGAAGTAGCCTCCACGAACATCACATTTCCTTCGCTGATGTCGCGATGAAGAACCCCAGCTTGAAATGCAAGAAAATGTTCTATCCCAAGATGTCAGAAAATATGACTGGTAGAAGGAAAGAACATACGTTGGACCACTCGGTACAGTGCCCAACACATCGCTTCGGTCGAAGGAAACTCGCGCAAAGGCCGCCCAACCGGCGTTAACAAAGACCGTACGTGAATACGAGAGTTAACATCCGCCGTCAGAGGGTGAGGAATTATGCGGGTGCGCTGAATGCTCCCTTCCGCGTCGATGTCGCAGTCGAGTGCCCCTAAATCAACACTCCCATGGCAGGTAGCCATTCCCTCAGCTCCCTCCTTGCCTTCGGAGCATTTGGCGATGAAGTCATAATAGTCGATCTCCGGACGACGACAAGCCTCTCTCCAGGCATCCTTCAAAGCGTATATTTGCGGGTTCTCTTCGTCTAGATCCTCTGCTAAGATCACGCGATAGACACGCGTGGCTCGACCGAAAAGCCCGTCGGAGACCGAGAGGATATTTCCGATGGTATAACAGGTGACGGGTTGCGGAAAACCGTCAACGTCTCGGCGGGAAGCTTTGAGACTGATGGTGGTATCGGTGGCGCTCGCGCAGTCTGGAAACATTTTGGCATAAAAGGAGTTGCGGCGAAGTGCTTCGTAGATACGCGATTTGAGAGTGTTGTCTTTGAGGGGCCGCGAAATGGTGAAGTCATCCCCGTCGATGCGGCCCAGATGGCCAGCTGGGTGATAGAGTCGGTACATGAAAGTGGGGATAATGTGTTGATTTTCTCCGGCCAACCATTCAAAGCCCTTCGAGACAACGAACCCAGTGCGATCAAAGCAGAATATGCGCGCCATGTCGTGCTTGTACATCGCCATAACCCACGAATAGCAGCGGCCCGAGCTCATCAGTAAGCTGCGACCGCTCTTGACGATCTGCACGAGGGCATCTTCGACCTTCTGGATTTTGCGAGCATCTTCCGGTTTTTTGGGGTTGAGCTGGCGGATTTCCTCGGTGGCATCGTCGAATATGTCGAGATTGTCTTTGAACTCGAAGTCGGTACCGATTGCGGGCCACGTCCACGGTTTCCCTGGCTCAGGCGGTGGCACACCCGGGTAAGTAGCGAGCACGTCAGGCTTAATGTCGTGGTCGTTCTCATCGAGAGGCTGAATACTTCGGTACTGAGAGTCGATGATGAGAGGCCTAATGTCCTCGGGAAACTTCTCAACCAAAGCCTCGAGATATTTTATCTGTCCATAGGAATAAGAACGAGTTCAATGTCAACTGAACCTGGATAACGCACGAAAGATGGAATCATAAGCTTCTCGTTGTTCCTCCTTGGGTTGCTGGTATCACGCCCGTTGTAGACATCAATCGCAGCGTTGAGGTGGCGTCGGGCTTGATTAACCATAGCGGTGACGGCCTTCGTCTCTGCATTGGTCGATTCCGCGGTGATCATGTAGTCTTCAAGTAGTTCCATCGGTTCCAGCATGCCCGCAAAGCCATTTTCTGCCATCTTGAACCAAATGCTGCGATTTTGTTTGTTGTCCTGCTTGGTGTCTTCTTTGTAGTTGGCTTGGCTAACCAGGTTGCTTCCAGGTTTCGACTTACGCGGAGTCGGTTGAGGAGGAGGGGGATGAGATTGGGCAGTGCCACCCGGATTGTCAAGAACAACGGAGGCCTGGGACTGGGGAGGGGGTGTTTGTGCGGTTTGCGCGCTCTGAGTAGACATGATGGTTAGAGAGTAAAGATAGTGCAACAAAGCGCTGCTCACCCCGTTTAAATAGTTATACGCAGTCAAAGCGTGTTGCGGTTGAGTCCAAGCACTAGTCACGTCGTGTGACAGACGCGTCTGATCACATGCACCTTGTTGATAGGCGTGATGACTCTCCGAAAAACCGTCACGTCCTTGATTTCCTGTGCCCCGTTGACCTTTTTTGCCGTGCTCTCTATATTGTTGCAGTGTCTTCTTTGAATTGTGGAACCCTCCGTGCCAGTGGCCCGAAGTCACTGGGTGTGAACAGAAGACAGTTTATTGGTCTGGTACAACGAGAGAAGGGTTGAGTAAGTACATGCAGACATAGATAAAATAGGAGTCATACCTGGTACAACGAGAGAAGGGTTGAGAGCCCCTCTCGTTGACCAGGTTCCAGTTGCGATGGAATCGAGACAGAGATAAGATAATAAGATATGATCAGGAGATTACCGAATGAGCCGCGTCACTCTCCGACACCCCCCCTTGACGTGGGTCCAGTTTCAGCATCTTTACCCAGCGTGCGTGTATCGTGCGGTGTAAAGGCTTCGTGAAGAGATCGGCGACATTATTGTTGCCCGCCACATGCATAACATCAACGAAGCGGTTCAGCACGCAGTCGCGAATGAAGTGCTCTCGAATAGAGATGTGTTTCATTTTCGAGTGTGAATGTGGGTCGTGGGTGCAAGCAACTGTTCCTTGATTGTCGCAAAAGATAGATGTGGGCTGCTGTTGTGGAAAGCCGAGCTCGTTCATGATGTTTCGGAACCAAAGGACATCTTTCGCGCAATGTGTTGTGGCAAGATACTCGGCCTCGCAAGAGGACAGAGCCACGACGGCTTGTTGCTTCGAGCTCCACGACACTGGGGAGTCGTTTACCAGGATAACAAAGCCCGATATCGATTTCCTATCATTCCCCATTCCCCAGTCCGAGTCGCTCAGTGCTGTAACCGTGGGTTCTGAGAAGTTCTTTCCCCCAAGTAGTATCCCATGGCTCGTCGTTCCCCGCAAATATCGCAACAGGTGCTTAGCCGCTGCCACGTGCGTAGGGCCATACTTCACCATAAAGCGCGCCAATTCCCGCACCGTATATGAGATGTCAGGGCGTGTGCAGGTGGACAAGTACATGCACCGCCCGACTATGGCAGCATATGGGAAGTCTTTCGTTTTCTCGACCTCCGCATCTGTAGCTGGCGCCAATCTGGTGCTCGGGTCCATTGGAGTCTGCACTGAGTTGCTTTTGTCGAATTTGAAGTCGCGAAGGATTGATTCCGTGAATGCCTTCTGGTGTAAGCGAATGGTGTGGTTATTTCGGTCTCGCTCGACTGAGCATCCCAAATGCAGCTTCGGTTCGCCATTGTCGGTGATCTCGAATTGGGCAGACAAGGCTGACACTACAGCATCCGATTCGGTTTGGGAGGAGCAAGCAATTAGCATGTCGTCCACGCTGGTCGTTATGATGCTGAGGTTGTTGTCAGTCCTCCTCACGTAAACGCTCCAGTCTGACTCGACACGTTTGAAGCCTATAAGTTCGAGTCGTGCGTTGAGCTCGAGGTACCATTGTCTTCCGGCCTGCTTCAAGCCATACAGACCCTTGAGCAGCCTCCAAAACCCTGGGCCCGCAATTTCAGGCTTCCGCATGTATATCTCTTCGTCAAGTGGGCCATTTAGAAAGGCAGTTTTGACGTCGACTTGGCGCAAAGTCATGTCGTAGGCGGCAGCGAGTGTGAGGACAAATCTGATGGATTCCCATCGTGCGACGGGAGCGAATGTGTATGTGTAGTCTTGGCCCGGGATCTGGGTAAATCCCTTTGCAACTAGTCGTGCTTTGAATCGAGATATGCGACCATCTCGGTCTCGTTTGATGTGCAGTACCCACTTGCAGGCGACAGGTTTGCGTCCTGCCGGCACTTCTTCAACTTCGACGTAAACGCCTTTCGCCCGTAGTGACTCCAGCTCCTCGAATATGGCGATTAGCCATTGTGGCCAGTATATCGAAGCTTTGGCTTCGGGTATTGAGTTTGGGTCTTTTGCATTGGGATCGTCGATGGGGTTTGTGAGAGTGGAATAGACATGCTCCGCCTTGTCGATTGCGTGCACTAAATCGACTAGTTCCTCGAGTGCGCATTCTATCTCGAGTTCGTCGCCTGAGAGCAGGACGGACAAGAGGTAGTCTTCGGAGATGACTAGATCCTCCTCCCCCTCGTCCAGCATCGCATGGTTGATTATATGTCGTGCGGGGAACTCGGCGTACGCGAGGAGTCTTTCGCTGGGCCAGCGGGGTATCATCTATTTCGTCCGCGCTAGGCATAGGCACATCTTGATCGAAAAGCCTGCTCATCAATTAGAATGATTAGATAGACCAGTGTGTTAACACACGGTATAGCTCGTGGCTTTGTTATTTCCTCGAACACTTCGTCTAAAAGACGTTGGACGGGTCTAAGTTACGTCAGCTACAGGCTCCCATGCGAGTTAACACGCACTCTGGGGTTGTACCGCGTTTAGATTCTGCCTCTACCAGTGTGGGAGGATGCCTGGTTAAACAGGTTAAATAGTATTCATCGTCGTTAACGACGGACATACGAGTTGAGCTCAGTGGCTTCGTTACGCTCGGAGGCGGGTTCACGCTCAGAGGCGGAGTTATTATGCTCGGTGGCAATTGGTTCGCTCAGCAGTTTGGCTGGCTTTGAAATCACCACGGATTCCCGTTCTCGAAAATGTTCTTCGAGTTCGGAGGGGACGTCTTCCCAGAGAAGTTCGGAGTGGGAAGGTGATGGGACAAAGTCAGGAAACCCATGAAATTCGATATCTCGGCGCGGGCGTATGGCTCTGGTATGAGGAAACCAGATCAAATATCCTTTGGAGTCGCGCGCATATCCAACAAATTTCCCTTCTTCCCCTCTGGAGGCAAATTTCATTTGATCTGTCGAATTGGGCTTTCGTACTGTTACGAGTGCGCCGAAAGGTCGAAGGTGCGACAGATCCGGCTTATGTTTGAACCAACTCTCGAAAGGCGTTGACCCGTCTGGATTCGCTGAATGCGGGACTCGATTCTTGATATGGATGCATGCTTGGACCGCGAGAGGCCAAAACCATGTGGTCAACGATGCATCGACCAACATGGCTCGAGTCATGTTTTCGATTGTCTGGTTGAGACGTTCCGCCACGCCCGTTTTGTTGTGAAGCATCAGGTACCGTCTTTTCGTAAGTGATTCCGTTGTCAGAGCAGTACTGTTGGAATTGGCCGTGTATAAGCTCGGGCGCGTTGTCGATTCGTAGGTAGACGAGTTTGCTGCCCAATAAGTTTTCGGCACTCACGCGAAACTCGTGAAAACACTTCAGGGCTTCGTCCTTCGTCTTGAGAAAATATACAGCAGAGTAGCGGCGGAAGTCGTCGGTGAATGTGATGAAGTATTTGAACCCCCCATAGCCGGATGGGAGGGGTCCACAAATGTCAGAATGGATTCGGAAGAGGACGCGCTCAGCGCGGTTGGAAGCTTTCGAGGGAAACTTTAGTCGTCTCATGTTGGCAAGAGCACACACCCGACAATCCTTGATCTTGACTGAGTCTATGCCCTGGGGTAAGCCGACCGTGGCACGTTGGAGTCCTTTAACGTCTAAATGCCCCATTAGACGGTGGTAAAAACCTGTTCTTTCGACGTCTTGTCGCCGTCAGGTCCAAGTATTGCCATGATGGTCGGCGTTGTTGCGGCGATCAGATTTGCACTAAAATTTGCTTCCGCGGGAGGTGATGTCGAGTTGGCGAGATTTTGGTCTGAATTTGGTTCCGATCCGTTTTGACTAGGATTTGCGACAATATTGAGTCCCATCTTGTACAGTCCTCCGACTATCTCGCCTGACGCAAACGGAAAGCCGTCTGGGTTGTAATACTGGATGCGGCCACCCCCCGTTTCCGTTTGCACGCCTTTCATGTCCAGTTGTGTCCCGGATATGAGGTTGCATCGAGCTGTGGGAATGTGCAAAACGTTGCTCAGTGAGAAACTCATGTCTCCCGGGTGCGTTCCTTCCAAGAAGATTCGTCCTTTCCCTAATGCTTGGGTAGTCAAGTTCGACCCAAAACCGTGAACATTCACCGGGTTTCTGAATGCCCTGTACTCTCGGAACGATGCGAGGTTATTGAAGACGTGTCGCGAAGCACCCGTGTCGTGGTAGATGTTCTCGGTGCGCGTTGTTTCTTCGTTGGGTAGGACATTCACAGCATTTACCCAGATGTCTCCTTCGTCGTCATCGATTTGCAAGTCGCTCATCATCATAAACGCCATCGCCGCGCCTGTTTCGTTTCCTACAGCCTCCGTCACATCCTCTTCGCTATCCTCTGTGAAGTCCAACATCCCTGCAAAGCGCTCTCCTCCAGCAGCAGCAAATCGATCTCCTCCCATTCTCGGACGTGGAGCGCCCAAGTTCTGCCTTGCTTGGCGCCTCTGAGCAGCAATTCTCTCGGCGGGTGGCAGGTGAACGATTCGCGAACCTCGATATCCTTCCGGATACTGACCCTCTTTGCCCCCTTTGTAAGCAAAACAGTCAGCTTGACAATGCCCAATGGGAGTGGAACACTCGATGTTCTCGCAAAATAGTCGACTGCGGCCCGATCCACCAGCATTGGGGTTTGGTGCACGATATGGCGCTGGTCGTCGGTCACTGCGTTGGTGAGCGCGTTGGACTTGTCGATGGTTATGATTGCTCGGTTGGACTAACGAAGCGCTTGCAACAGCACTTGTGTCAGAGTCTGCGCTTGACGGAGTCGTTGTTGAAGCGGTACCCATCTTGAACGCCTCTTCGCGTTGTAATCGGGCCACCACCGCTGCCGAACTCAGTGGTTTCCCATTCTTCTCGGCGTTAGTCATCTCCTCAAGCAATGAGTCGCGGCAGTACTGCCATTTCTCGGTCTGCGGCATGTTGGTAATGAGGCACTTGGCGAATTCGTGGTCGGGAAGCATGTCGGGGTCAGCGCGGCGTAGGTTTCCATACTTCTCGAGCATCGTCACTCTCCATACGATGGGATTCCCTGTTCCGCACATGAGGGAAGATATTTGGCCTTTGAGGGTAATGGCCGTCAAGGTGTTCGTCGGTTCGTAGGCTTCTTTTAATGCAAACCACGCTTCTCTTGCTGACTTGCAGTTGTCTACAACATAGAGTTTCGCTATTGGGACGGCGTCCACTATCGTGGAGAGAGCCTTCTTGTCTTGCAACAACCAACTTTCGGCGGCCTTCTTGGCTACATTCACTTCGACTTCGTTGCCCTTGGTCGTTATCGTCACTGTTGTCCCAGTAGGGTCTACCCCTGTGTACATTTGGCTCTGGACCAATGCGGGAATTACTGGAGGCTTGTATTCGTCGCCATCAATGAACTTCCAGTACCCGGCAGCGTCGAGTTTACACTTGGCTTTTGCTCTGAATTCCGCATAGTTGTTGCTGCCGTCGGTGTTTTCGACAATAGAGGTGAGTTTCAGTTGTCGCCATTCTTTATCATTGTCTGCTGACGACATCTCAAATAGGTGTCGGTATGGATAAGTCGTAGTGTCTAGGAATTGCGACGAGTGGGACGAGTGAGTAGCGAGCAGCAGGTAGTAAGGCGAGGTTGGTTGTTGGTTAGATTGGTTAGGAGTGAAGTATGTTTGGCTGAATTAGAGTGTGTTGCGCAAACTTCAGCCGGGGCCCATAACCTGTGAACAGAAGACAGTTTATTGGTCTGGTACAACGAGAGAAGGGTTGAGTAAGTACATGCAGACATAGATAAAATAGGAGTCATACCTGGTACAACGAGAGAAGGGTTGAGAGCCCCTCTCGTTGACCAGGTTCCAGTTGCGATGGAATCGAGACAGAGATAAGATAATAAGATATGATCAGGAGATTACCGAATGAGCCGCGTCACTCTCCGACACTGGGAAAGTCGAGTCTAGATCACGTCAATGCACTGACCTTCAAGTTTCACCTCTTCAACTCCAAAGCTGGCGGCGCACTGTTTCTGCTGCTTATTATTCAAGCTCCCCTGGCATTCATTAGAGTCCCAGCTCGAATTGGTCCAATGGTCCAGCCAATCAACTTCAAGTTCTCGTCATTCTCAGAAACGTGGCATCCGCTACAAGGTCTTCTCAGTGTTCACACTCTGGATTCGACAATTGTTCAACTCTCAGAGTGTCCTGTGATTGCCCTGAAAAGAGTCTTCGAGTTATAACTTCTAGCTATAAATGCAGTGGGATCTGGCCAGGGGAAACTATCACATCTCAATTAATCGTACCTTCGATATTCTGGAATACTATCCTACAGGCTCGGCTAAAATACGACGCTCCGAGTCTTATAAAAGCGCTACGTATTTGGCTGTTGAATCGTTGCCCGCCATGCATCAAGTTTTCATCCGAGTCTTCCTCGTGCTCTTCGCATATTTTGCTGTGAACCCATTCATTTTAGGACTTGCGCCATCCTGACAAGCCGAATATAGACTGCCAGTGCTCACGCCATCGTCGTACAACGAGATAGTGATATTTCTTGGACGCTGCAAGGCTGCTACACAGACACATCAACCTCTCGCACTCTCGGGGGATCGTCTGCTATCAGCGACGACATGACCATCGAAACTTGTCAAAGTTTTTGTTCAGAGGGAGGTTTCAATTTGGCCGGTGTAGAACTCGGCTCTCAATGCTGTCAGTGTGGTTTCATCACTAGTATTACCGCGACATCCGCTCAGATTTATCGGTAGTCTGCGACAATGGCATTCAGGCAACCGGTGCGACCGCTGATATCGCCAACTGTAATGCGGCTTGTAGCGGAGACGATACCGAAATTTGTGGCGGCGAAGGTTTCATCAATATTTACTGGAACGGAGCGCCCCAAACCTGTCTCTCCTTCAACCACACAACGACTTCCAATGTTCAAGCGGTGTATGTCAGCCCTCCGACGACAGGACCTGCCTCCGTGCCAATCTACGCCCTGATCATCTTTCTCGCGCGTGGATTTGCATTTGAAATTCTCTCAGTGGGGCGCTTGTTACCACGCACTTCTGCTTGCACTGATAACTATTCAGACTGGATTCAACGCGTTCAACTTCGTATCACTGACAAATGGCGGTCTCAAGGCCACCTCCGCAACCCAGCCCTCACGAGCCGTCTCTCTCTCCGCCCTCCCCGGCGACTCACCCACCTTCGTCATGGTAACCCCACTCCCGGCGGCCCTTCCCGCATATTGCATGATGCCGAATCCATTCCCTGGCCAGGACGGTACAGTTCTCGCGGTGAACGGCAGGAGCGACCTTTGGGCTCTGTGTGCGAATACCTCGGCCGCAGGAAGGGTCGATTTGGTGTTTGATCCCATTCCGAATCACCCGCGTTATGAGCTGGCGAACTGTCGGTCTGTGTACCTCACCTTGACGGATGCGTAACTCGATCTGGCAACACGTATATATCCTTGCACTTGATGTAGTTAACTTCGTTTGCGCGAAAGAAGCAGCTTACATAAATCGTGACTAATCAGATGAGTCATCAAGCAAGACCCTGCTCCGCCAGCCAGCAATCCACTTGGATAGATCTATGGCTTTGTACCCCTTGCATCGGCAGACTCGACGAAGCTGCCGCCACAGCTTGAACCGACTAACACAAGGCATCTATGAGCGGCACATCATGCTAGCCCAGGGACCGTGAGGGACCGTGCTGCATGTACTACTAGCCTACCTACCTCGAATGAGGAAAGCCCAAGCACTACAACGAGCGGATTGTCATCGTGATAGAAGCTAATCTGACCTTTGGTGCGCCTGGGTGCCGAGATATGTGCTATAAAAACCGGTTGGTCTTAGTGGTTACCCAGCAAACTTCAATATGCTCTGCGTCCTCATTGCCTCGCTCACCATTGCTAGCGCTGCTGTTCGTTCTCTTGCTTGTTCGTTAATTCTCATCCAAAGGCGGAGCTACAGATGGCAGCGGTGCTTCCGAGCCAACGCGACTCCGTTATATGGGTTGCGCAAGGCTGCTACACCGACACAAGCACGTCCCGAACCCTTGCCTCCAGCTCCGCCGCAAGCACGAACATGACCATCGAGAACTGCATCAAGGTCTGCTCCGACGGCGGGTACAACCTTGCTGGTGTCGAGTTTGCCGATGAATGCTGTCCGTATTTTCCTCCTCATATGTTTTAAATTGTCCTTACCTGCGGAAACCCAGACTGCGACTATACCTTCCAGTCCACCGGCATCATCGCACACAGCCAGGATTGCAACCTACCCTGCAGCGGAAACAAAAACGAAAAATGTGGAGCGGGCAACTACATTGATGTATACTGGAATGGCCATCCTTTCCCCGTCGCGCCGCCCACCGCCGGGACGTATACTTACCAAGGGTGCTATGCAGACAACGTCAACGGAAGAGCCCTGCCCCACCAGCAAGCGGTTGCGAACGCAACCGTCGATAAATGCACGGCTGCGTGCAAGGATGCAGGTTATAACGTTGCTGGCCTGGAGGCTGGACGGGAGTGCTGTAAGTGAGATTCAAGTACTAGAACCTCTCCCTCATCCGTGTTTACAGGGTGCAACCTCCAGCTCCCTTCGACCCCAAAGTTGAACGACAACGCCTGCGCAACGGCGTGCACGGGCAACACTAATCAGCTGTGTGGAGGAACCAGTAAACTGACTGTCTATTCTGCTATTGTCTTGTAGCAGCACATGACTGTTCACAGAATCCTGATAACAGTTGTAGAAAACAAGATGCAATTTCATACCAGGTTTTCCCCTTACTCGTACCTTGTTATCTAGAAGAGTTCGACTTGATTTTCAGGCAAAACTTGCTGAAAATTCAATGAAATTTTCTTGAAAGAATTTGGCCTTTTTTATCTAACCTATATTCTGGCCCTGTGGGCATCATTTCAATAATAAAAAACGTGTGAGATCGTATACAGATTGCGTCAAGGTAAATGAGTATGTATGTATGTGTCAAATGTGTGTAGCGCGTCATTAGTTAGTCAGTTCGTACAGTTGTGTCCGCCGCAGGTCATTATATGTATATCGTTGTCGCGGAATCGTCGTTAGTTATGACCCAGCCGCAGGCCCGCCCGTGAAAAAGATCCCACTCAGTCGCACCTGGGGAAAGCCGATCAATCATTGCATGTTCCTGAAAGAGTCTGTGGACATACCCGGTTGGCTGGATCTCTCCGGTGCCGTGTGCTGTTGCCCATATTCCGCATCGCGTTGTCCAACACACCTCTACTCAGCGACGCGCGACCATACGACTCGGGCGCGTGTATCGGCGGGGCCAAACCGCTGGTGCTCTCCGGCTTGCTGCGTTTGACAGTTGGTTCGCTGTCGGTCGAGGATTCGTTGGTCTGAAGCACGATCGACGGCTTCGACGGCGCCGGCTTGCGCTGGGATTCGAGTCTGATAACGTCCTGGACGGCGTTCTGCGACAATGTAAGAGACCTCATACGAAAGAGAGTATCATTTTACCTCGAGAGACTGCGAGAACGTAACGATGCCTTCGAAAAACAGCTCCACACTCGGAGCTTGTGGCGCATCCGGGTTTTCACCAAAGTATGATAACAACGAGCGGAGTTCTTGGTGCAATGAGAAGCTCGCAGACTTGAGGTCGCGGATCTTGGGGCCGACTTTCGCCACGAAAGGCTAATAAAATGAGCTTTTTCACCAGGATGAGGAATACGAGGCCTACCTCCATTACTACCACAAATCGGTCGGCAGGATCCAGCCTTAAAGACTGTGCTTTCGTGATCTCCGTCTTCAGTTGCGTTAATCGTTCCACCATATTGTTCACGGTCTGCAATATTGATTGGATTGAAACTGGCCAAAAAGTCACTTCTTCACGAGTTTTAATAACGATGATTCACGTACTGCGAACCGCCTCTCGGATATTCGGCATGTCTTTCATAAAGTCCAACAAAGATGGGTCGTTTTGCAGAAAATTCCGTGCCAGAAAATGCAGCAGCGAGGGACACTCCTCACGCCCAGTCTTAGTCATGCCCAGCTACAGTATCAGTGTCAGCCAAATGGTTTTTTTGTTCAATGTTGCTAGCATGCCTGGTTCAGTGTTGACAGCCTGAAGCCCCGTATCTGCCCGCGATCCACGTTGAGCGCATTCCCAGCAGCTAAAACAGTTTGCAAGATCTGCTTGAACTTGGCGGACGACCGAAGCTCGCGCGAGGCTTTGTGTAGGATTTCCAGCTCCGGCGCCAGCTCTGCCATGTCCATATCCAGTTTCGCCCGGAAAATCATGGCGTCTAGCCGACCCGGGAGTCGAGGGATTGACATGATCTGTCATCGTGAGCATGGGTAGCACGATAATAAATAGCCTACCTGAGCAAGGTACTGATCCGCCTCTGATAGCTTCGACATATCCTTCGTGGCTTTGAGTAGGGTGATCTTCGAAAAAAAAGTCAGCGACAAGATCGTCGCAGAATTGAAACCTGCCTCATCGGAAGTCGGCAACTTGTTGCCGATCTCTTCTAAGTTGTTCACAGGAAGCTTGTCGTTAAGCTCCAGCAGTGCTTGCTTAATTTCAGGGATGCTCATCTTAATGCCTTTGAGCATAACGCCTGTAGCGTCTTAGCGTTGCAGGTCAAATTAACATAGATGCGACATACCAACAGCAGTGGCTCTAGCGTTATTTAGCACTGTCTTGGGACTGTTGCTTGCTGTATTAGACCCCAGTTTCGAGGTCGTCGCACGGGTCTCGATAGCGAAAAGGCTCTTGATCTCGTCCATCTGCAAAGCGATGCCTGTTGTCTGACCCTCCGTCCACACAGAAGATGCGCTGGCCGAGTCGAGCGGGAGACTTTCGTGGATGAAATTTCTCATGTTACTCTTGGGCTTTAAAGAGCTCATGAATCGGAATGACGTTGGCGGAGCACCCGGAGCTGGTGGTGGGGGCGGGGGTGCTGGAGCACCGGGAGGTGGCGGTGGGGGAGGGGGAGGAGGAGGTCCAGATGCGAAAGATGGTGGTGGTGGCGGCGGTGGCGGTGGCGGCGGAGGTGGAGGTGGAGGCGGCGGAGGTGATGATGTCGATGTTGATGGTGTGATTGATGGCACATCACTGAGTGATGATATTACGTGGGGCGGTGATGGCGGAGGTGATGGCATGCTCGCTGTAGTCTCTTCAGCGAGCGTAGATCTACGTGGCGGCGGCGGTGGTGGTGGCGGAGGTGGTGGTGGTGGTGGTGTTGGTGGTGTACCAGCTGCAGAGAATGATAGTGGAGATGCAGGAACGACGGATGCCCGTTTGCCCTTGTTGCTTGGAGGCGGAGGTGGAGGAGGCGATCTTGCTTTGAATTCCTTCTCCGTCTTAGGACGAGCGGCAAGTTTCGACTTTAACTCAGTTACTTCGGCCGAAAGCGTAGCAATCTCGTCGTCCTTTCGACTTAGCGTTTCCAAGACACGTGATACCATCAAGTCGGCATCCATCTCGGCTGCCCGGCTCTCCTGCCGCATGTCCTCTTGCGATTTGAATCGAGCATAAACAGCTTCCATGGCGCGTTTGTAGTATGTGATATCCTTTTCTTTGATCCCAACCAACGACTCAAGTTCACTGATCTAACCAGATTCGTTAGGTAGAGAGAGAAAGAAAAGGAATGTAACCTGCCTTGATCTTTTGGTGTGCAATCTCATCATTGAGTTTCTGTAGCCGGGCCCGTTCGCGTTCACGTTTAGCACGATCATCCTAGGAGAGCATGAAGTGGGTCAATGATAGAGCAACACAATTCTCGTACAGCTTCTCTTGCATCTGCTGGATTCTGTGCTTTGAAGCGATCAACCTCGGCTTGGAGTTGGATGACTTGTTTCTCGCGTTGAACAAGGCGTTGGACAAGACCGTGGAAGTTCTACCTCATACTTTAGATAACAAGGTATATGATATGTCGAAACTAACCTCTTGGCCGGCTTTCCCTATTGATTTGGCATTTGGGACAGGCATGTTCATGGGGAGAGATTTCAACGCATTCATCTCTGCCAACTGATCATTCAACTTGTTTCGTAGGTCGGTTCGCTATCGCATGGTTAGATTCCTCTTTTGATTGAGTTAAGCTTGGTCGCACCTCATCGCTCAGTTCCTCGTACTTCGCACGCAATGCCTCGAGTTCTTGCTCGATAATCGTCCGTGAGCCGTCCTCGTATGCCGCCTTAACTTCGAGCGCTTGTCCGGTTATATGGACCACCGACGAAGAAAATCGTGTCATGAACAAATGCCAGCTCTCGTCGCTAAAAGACATCAGCGAGAATTCAATACAAAGGAGGAGAACAAAAACGCACAAATCATCCAACATTGCAGCTTGCTCGACGAACTTGTCCAAGATTGCAAGCAGATCTGCTTTTAGTTGCCTAAACAATCAGTCAATGATCCAATCAGTACGAACAAGGGTAGCTCACAATCCGACATCGCGCTGCAAAATGAGGGTATAGTGGTTCATGATGTCCATCATCATTGGATATAACTCTCCGTGTTGTTTAGCCAGTCGCACGAGGTCTGCAAGAGCTGTCTCTGAACCCGACATGCCTCGTTCATGGTTGACTGGACTGCCCGCCTGGCCAATATAACTCCGCGCACGATCCCGCATGCTTTCCTCGTCAGCGAACTTGTCATCCGCATAACGCTCAATCTGAGTTCTGAGGTCATCCGTTGGGCCCAGGTATCGCAAGGTCTATAGTCCAAAGAATCAACTTGTGTCGATGAAACGTTCGCCGCAAACCTACCACGACCGCTTCGTTTAAGCCCCGTCGAGCAAACTCGTCACGAAGCATGACCCGATCTTCAAAAGCCTCCGAATGGAAAATCAACTGGTTCACCAAAGCCATCGACCACGTCCGTGCCTCCCACAGCTCTGCCTCTCGTTTGACTTCTTCGCTGCCCAAATCGCCCTCGGCATCAAATGTATCTCGCATGAATTCCAAGAGTTGTTCGAAGCGGAATGCCTCTTCAAATTCGATACGGTAGTCTGTTAAGGCGGCTAAAACCAGCTTTTGACCTTCGGGGCGGTCCGCAGGTAGACCACAGAGGGCTGCCAGAATTCTGGTAACAAGGCCACGCAGTTTCAGAGACGACCCATGGAGAGCGTAGGCCATGTGAGTGATCAGCGTTCTCGACGAGAATGCCCGTTGAAGACCGGGCTAAATATTTCATATGTCAATTCAAACGTTGAAAAGCACTGAATGAAGACCTAGGCTTACAGTTGTGTTCAGTAGAACCCGCAGACACTTAACGAGATTAAAAACCACGTTTTGCTCTGTCTGCGTTAGGGATCGCCGTTTGCCGCCAACCAGGCTCGCTAAAAGTGAGTCCAACACTTCCATCCCATTCTCGTCGATGAACTCCACAACCCACTGCATCTCGCTCGACGATGCATGCGAATTGAGCTCAATGAGAAGTTTCGCCAGCTTGGAATCTACTTTGCGATTGCGGAGTTTATCCACATACCACTTCCCGGGTTGATCCCTTCCACTAGCTTCACCAGTTCCGCCGCCGGACCACCAGCTGCTGAATACGCCGCCGGTGATGTTTGGTTGCAGTGGTTGAAGCTCCTCAACTGGTTTCTCCACTGTTGCCTGTACAACCTCTGGCTCTGCTGGACCACCCCAAAGCGAGAATCGTCGGAAAGCATCCCCAGTAACTTGTGGTATTATCCGCGCGAGGGCAGCTCCGCTAGACGGACCAACCGTTGCGGATTGCATGGGCGACTTGGATTTCGGTTTCGCGGCGCGATACTGACTGAGAAGCTGTTGTCGCTTTTCTAGAGGGAGACTATACATGGCAGCCCTTCTACCCTCCGGAACTGTTGCCTCCTGTCATCGTGATATAAGCATTTGAGAAACTTGCATCGAGATATACGCACAACAAATGCGTCAAAAGCGAATTGATCAAACGGCTCGTCCTCTTCTTCTACCATAGAATCCAGCCCGGGACCTTTCCACGGTCCTCCAGTAAAGTGCGGCACGAGTTTGGGTTCGCTGACACTTTTGCGATTGTCCGGAGATGGAGGTCCCGAATTTTGCGCAGACCAGTAACTCATTAGCGAAAATCGCTTCTGGGCCGCAGGAACTTCATCTGCACGTGGAGAAATGGTCGATTTCAGTTTGGCAGTCCCTTCCCCGTCCGAATCATCCTCATCATCCTCGTCTTCTTCAGGTTCCTCGTATAGTGACTGGAACTGCTTTAACGTCGATGTCGATGACTCGAGGGATGCTCCAGAAACACTCCGGGACTTGGACCGTCGATACCATTCCTCCGGCACAGCTAATCGGAAGCTTCGTGTTGCCCCAGATGTCAGAGTATTCGTGCTGAAAGGAAGTTCGACGATCTTGTACATCAGGGATGAACTAGGCAAGCGCGTGAAGTCTGTGTCGCAAAAATAAGCCAGCACGTTTGATAACTGGCAGCAGTCAACGCACCAGAGGTCTGCCCATCGGCCCACACCTCCTCCAGCACATATTCTAGATTGTTGGAGCCCGGCAAGCCTTTCGTTAGTCCAAGTTCTGTCGCAACTGCAGATGTAACGTCCCCAACGGTCGTATTTGTCGAGATGAAGATCTTATATTGGAATTCATCATGGATTTCGGGCACCCGGGAGAACGAAAAGGTTATAGAAAGCGATGGATGCAGAGAGACCAGTCGCAGTGCGGGTTTGTGCATGTGTGATGTCAAGTGGTATGTCGAGAATTGGCGGTCAGGGATCGCAGGAGTGGCATTTATGAGCGGGGAAATAGGTGTGGTTGGAGGTAGTATTCCTGATGAGCGCTCAGGAAAGATAGCAAGACAGAGAAACCCACACTCACCGTCCCCCAGCGCCTCCAATTCCGCCTCCTCCCATCGCCTTCCCAACTGCTCATCCCTAATGGACTGTAGCGCCCACCCGCGGTCGTCAAGGTCTCCGAGAATCTCGGATTTGACATGCTCGTTGGTTATAAGGTCGTTGAGGACGTGTTGGGCAGTCGCGTTCGCCTCAACCGTTGCAAAGTGTAGATTGCCTGTCGGAAGCAAAGTCGGCACAATCAATGGCTCTGCTCCCATGGCGAGCGGGCGGCCTAGGTGGAGAAGCGAGTGTCTGGCGTCGTGATATGTGTAGACTGGATTCTTAGAGTGTGGTAGAGGACATGGGGATTGAGAGCGATGAGGGCGTAAGCCAAATTCGGAAACGAGATGACATATGCGTGACTCCGCAAGATCGGTCGTCTTGTAAGTAAACCACTCAAGCGTTGAACAAGGCTTGGATTCCGAGACTCAGCTCCCATTACAACCACCTTGTTCTCAACTGCTTACTACGTGCTAAAGGTCAAGATACTGTCTCTAATCTTTAACCGAACACTTCGATCAGCCGCCCACTCAAACCGTACAAGCGTAAGGGCTTCCGTATTGGACATGTTCGCTAGCAAAGTATCAATATTTATAGTGCAAGGACGAGTGAAATACCAAATAACCTTCGTCTCCCACATTGAATGACAACGTCTTGAACGGGTCCGATCCGCCATGACCTTGTCGTGGTGGTGCTCCAGGATTAAAAAAACTCGAGAAGCTCGACCCAACTTTCCACACCAACACCACGCTCTCTTCAAGAGAAAGGGTGACGAGTCTCCTCCCATCCGGCGAAAAGCTGCATGCCGTGATCTTCTTCTTGTGCCCTTCAAGCACGTATAGTCGGATCGCGGTCTTGAGGTCGTATATCACAATGGCCCCTTCGTTCGTTCCCACAGCAAGTCGTTGGCTAGCCATATGGAAATCGATGCTGGGGAATCTGAGAGTCTGATTAGTCAATCAATTCCAATAGTACTCAAAAAGACGACCAACGTCTTCACGACATGTCCTAAAATTTCTGTTGCAGTGTCGAGGACTGCATCTCTCTGGGAAGTTGAGTTTGGGTCAAGCGATTTGACGACAGCTTCCATAAGTCGAGGTAGGTTGGGCTGCAATACTAATGGCCGCTGTCACAACTTATCAGTTGCAAGCACCAAATGACCTTTCGAGCTTACCTTCCGGATGAGAAATGCGACAATCTGCAACACAGATTTCCGGTGTTCCAATCCCGAAGGGTTCAATATATCCAGTGCAAGAGTCGTCATAAACAACGCTGTGTTGTTGGAAGCGATTTGCAGCACAGCTAGCCTTGCTTGCGGCCCCGCATTCTGAGCAGAGATACTCTCTTTCCGTGAATTTGTCGCAAGCGTAAACAGTGCTCGGAGAATGTCCATCGCATCAATGTAGTGTTGCCAAATGTGGAATCCTTGAGAACACAAGTCGACAGCGAGGACACGATAGAGCGACTGTTCGTCGTGTAGATAAAGTGCGATGGATTTAGCGATATCAGTTAACGTACTGAGGCGAATTAGACACAACAAAAATGCAGACCAAGAAAAAAACCCACTTGCTCGACAGCAGGCTATAGTTCTCGGCAGCAATGTGGCCACACATGAATAGCGACAAGGCAGCAGGAAGCGATTCTCGATCGGCAGTGGATTGTAAGCATGGCACTATTAGGTCTAAGTCCCCATTTTCTGTAATTCACAAGCAGCCTCACGATGGTGTTGCCAGTGTTCTGCAACTTCAATGGTCTCTTCATCTGATAACCGTGCTATGGTGGCATCAAATAACATACGCGCAGCATGACGGACTTCATCTGTTGTGGGATAAGTGCACTTTAAGGTGATACTCCGTTGAAGAACGCACTGGATGAGTCAAACCACCGACGAGCCAGATAGGTGAGACTGGGAGGACGATAGAACGGACCAACAACTCCGGATAGAGACGTCGCATATAGTGCAACAACGGCTGCCGCGGGTTCAGCGAGTTCTATAAGTGGTTGGGATCAATGAAACAGACAAGCAGCGAGACAAATACCAGCAAACAAACTAATGGCACGGAGCAGCACTACGATTGCCAACGCCCGTGCCGCTGAAGCATCTTGCGAAATGCACCATGGGTCACGAGATCGATTTCCAGTGTACAAACAGCTGGAACCAAGGCTATAATTCGGCCCTAGTCAAACGGGAGCCCTTATATATAACGTAAACAAACCTGGCTAAGCCTGCGCAGGTTCTCGATAGCGGAATTCCGAGTCTCTGTTCACAGAGGATATCGGTATCGCGGTTGAGACCAGGAGTGAGCAAGGTTGAGAGAATAAGCCTGATTTGATCCAAAGCAGAATAGATCGCTTTCGTTTGATCCCTGTTTGTGCTTATCAATCTTGCGGTAGTTGTAGTCTCGCTGATAAATCTTTCGAGGTCAAGTGTTACGGTCGAGGCTGGAACGCTCGTTAAGATGGGGGCTCCAACACGACAAAAATACCAACCAGACGCGAGTGTGGTACTCGACAGACCCTTGAGATAAATGTCCGGAGTACAGGAACCGGAATTTGTAGTCCTACTGGAACGTTAACTTCATGAAATGATTGAATGGATGCCTCACATGTCCACCCATCCTCCTTGGGCAATCAACTCTTGCGCCTTCTCCAGCGCCATAGATCTCCGGAATTCCTTGGTTTTGACGTCCCATAACCGAGCACGACGGTCGGAATAAATCAAAAGAAGACTGTCTTCCTTCAAACTTATCCGCAGAAGAGAGAAAGCAGAACCTGGAATGATGTAGAGACTTTATATGGAAGTCAGCTATAGCCAATGCACAACGACCCATACGCACAAATGAAACCCATCTACCACGATGACAGCGATGGTACCGTCCTGTGATAAGCACAAAACACAACCCCGCAGCGGACTGAGCTTGTTGTCCGGAAACTGAATCACCCTGGAGAGTGGTGTTGTGAATATCGTCCAACGAGCCTTCAGAGCCAAGGATCTGTGGACCTCTCAATTACCGGCACACACGGAATCCACTGGCTCTTACTCCGCCGCCCAAAACGCAACTGACCCATCATCTCCACCACCAACGACTAGCTTTTCGCGCGTTCGACTATTTTGCACGATATGGAGAGCCCCCACAGTTCCGTCAATAGGAACATTAGAAGTTTTCGCAGATACTTTTGGCGTCGATGAACAGATATCAGCCAACGAGGTTTCCTGTAGTGTCCCATCCGCTATCAACTTCTGAATACCCCGACAAAAAAGAGCGGAAGGTCTTACCACGACCTAACAGGACGGAATTGGCATGGGGAGCGAGGATCGAAGTTGGTTGTGAAATATCGCGACCTCCTTTGTAAATGAGTTGTCGGATCCAACTCGCATCATGCAACACATGCGATTCAACAATTCGTCCTTCGTTCGTTGCCCTTGTAGCGAAAACCTCTTGGAAGTTAACAACAGTCACGGCTTCATTTATGTCCGTCGAAACTGTGCGCAGTAAAGTTAGCCTGTAGATATAAGCACAAGAGCAACCAAAGTTATTTACACATACTGGGCACGTAGCACATCATCGACAGGATGACCCACAGGTGTTGTAATGTTGTTCGATTCTATGAAGTCAATCTTGCAAAACTGAATTTGTTCCTGGAGAAATCAGTTTTCGCCGTGGATAATACAGAGAATGTACCACGAAAGTGATTGCATAGATATTCTCATCGAGCCATTGAGCTCGTACGACGCCTCCTAGTTCCCCACTATGAAGAATGGAAAACTCGTGATTGGCATATTCGAAGATCTGAATGCAAGTGTAAACAACAAGTAAGTTGACGTAAGAAGACCGATTACCATGAAGGCTTGTTCTGTCCAAGCTAACCCACGCAGTCGACCATTCATCAGATGGGAGCGAAGCCCCAGCAACGGACCTTCACCAAAAAGTTGGCCAGTGATGAATTCTTCACCCAGCACGATTCGGCTGGCATCCGGAATTGGCTCTGAAGCTAAATCCTCTGCAGATTTGGACTTGATAGCTTTGAATAAGGGAAGAGCCGCCAAATTCGTGGAAATGCTTTCCTCTAGAGGGGGCGATTCCACCCTCTGCGTTGTGGGCAGGCGAGGAAGACATTGAATGGATCGAACACAAAATGTGCCGTCAGGACGAAGGTAGAAGAACACCTCGCCTTTACAAAATCATGAGAGACGAAATAATCGATAAGATGACTGCATACCGTCTGCATCAGGGTGGACACCTATACCGGCAGCAGGACCGTCTAGCTGCCATTGGCTCAGCGGCTCAAGCTCAACGTCATAAGGCCCCCGGTCATTATCCGCGCGAAAACGGAACAATGCTAGTCGTGATTTCTCTAGAACGCCGTTGTCGGATGGATCGACCGGCCCATACGAAGCGGAGTTGGGATTGATTTTCGCAGTCGCCAAGAGCATAGGCATCTGGAACCTAGTAAACATTCGGTACTGCGTCAAAGATGGACAAAGGGGCCAACCTCTCCAATGAAAAAGTGTTGAATATGGGACCAGATCCACACGTCATGGGACGCCTCTTGGTCCTGGAAGCCCTGCGGAGGCTGTGGCGGGTTGACTTCGACATTGATAGAGTTCAGGCACATTCCGTCCTCCATAGAATAAACAGAAAGATGTCTGGGAGATCAGTTAGATTCGGGCAACGTAGGTCGTATGAAGACTAACCCGGATTGTTGTAGGACAGTAATAAGCGAGTTGCTCTGCAGCAACAGCAGATCAGAAACGGGGCTTGAGTCTGATGGAATTATATGGTAATAGAGGGCGAGGTTCTGAGTGTCCGTATCTGCCCCGAAGGCAGATTGAGACGGTGGTGATGGAGGGTTGGACACGCTTTTTGGTGTTTGTGATGGAGAGTTCGTGGCGGAGAGCAGTGAACGCGGCGGGTCCAACCGCTTCGCTTGGAAGACAGAGGGTGGTGGGGAGTTTTCAGTGGAAGGTGGAGGAGATCGCGTATTTTTGTGGTTGCTCTTCCCCTGAAGCATATCCTTCAGCTTGTCCGGTTCATCATCGAAGTCGACATAATTCTTTGGGGCTTCCACTTGTGTAGTGGTAACTCCAGAAACGATTCTGGACCGAGATGCTACATTGAAAGGGGGCTTTGGTGAGGGGAGGGGAGAGCCGGAGCGTGAAGGATGCTTGGAGGTGGTTATTGGAGACGGTATGGAAAGAGTCGTGGGTTCTGGTCCTGGCTGTTGTATCTTTGCGCCGCGGCTACTTCGCCGAAATGCATATATCGACCCATCCTCGCAGCCAATTACAGCCCGCACCGGGTGTGTGATTGTTTCCTCCGAAAGAACTACGAAGTTTGAGGTGACCGAGTTCGAGCAACTGTTGTCGAGAGAAGTTGGGCTGCCATCCTTGCGTTGTTGAGGAAAGTGGAGAGGTATGTGCAAGGAAGGAGCCCCAGGGTTCATACGAGGACGAAGCACGGCTATGGATGTCGTTTTCGTCGTGGTTTGCCGGCTCACTGGTGAAATCAAAAGTCAAGAGATAGTGTGACAAGGTGTTACAGGAGGGAAATCAAAGACGCTCGTCAATGAGAGGAACATCCCATTACTATCATACAAAGGACATCGTAAGCGTTAAGCGGGATTCTCAAGCAGCGGGGTCCTCTCGGTTGCATCCTCCGATGACGATGCTGCGACACTGGGCACGTGGGGGTCAGCCGGAGGTTGTGTTACGTCGGCCTTGCAAACGGGACACTGACAGCAGGTCAAATCTAACTCAATCACCAAAACAAAGATAAACGCACCAGCTTCTTCCTTTGAATGAGCCATTCGTCCACCTCTGCAAGATGGAATATGTGGTGACAGGGTAACACGCGGACCTTGTCGCCTTTCTCAAACTCCGAGAGACATATTGCGCATTCTAGCTGTTGATCGAACCAAGGTAATGGAGCAGTTGTGGTAAGCTCAGTAGCGGCTGAGGTCGACGGATCGCTTTGGGAGGAATTGCTGGTTTCGCCTTCCTCCACATTGGGCTTATCCGTCGCCTCTTGCTCGGTGTCAGTCTGGCCTTGGGTTAACGAGGGATCCGTTTCAGCGTATGGATCCTCTCCACTCTCATGTTTCTCCCAGCCACTCCCCGTCCAGACGCGCCAGGGTAGTTTGTGGACCACCTCCTCGGGTGCCCGTTCTCGCTGGGCTGCCCGAGCGGCCCGAATGCGGTGAACCAGTAGAGTTATGAAGGTAAGAGCCGAAGGTAGAAGCAAAATAACGATAAAGGTGATGATTGGTCTATGATTGAAAAGGATTAGATCCAAAGCAAGCTGTCTGAAAATTGACCTACGAATACCACTCCCAGGCACTATACTCTGCTGTAATAAGCAGGGACAGCGTCTGTAAGCCGTCATGGGAAGTGCTGGACGCGAGGATCAGGTTGAAGAGCGTTATGTAGTCAGAGTATCGTATAAATGTAGAGGCGATCTTCACGTCAGAAGCGTCCTCTGCATATGGTTTGGTTTATTTGAAGATGCTCAACTGAACAGGCATGACATACCTGGACTGTACATGTTCACCAAGACATCGGGGTATCCCGAAATTTCGGGGTCTTCACCACCAACAACGACCGCGCGCGCGCCAAGCCGTTGCGCTTCTCTGACCTTCCTCACAAACTCACACCCTCCTCCTCGCTGCACGAGCGCAATCCAGGTTTCTGACGGATCAGGTCGATGGGGGCCAGAGATGCACAAACGTGGACATGCATTGTTTGGCGGCACAAAAAGCTCCGACGAGTTGGATGCCTCGCAGGGTGCGGTGAACTGCTCGAAAGATCAAAACTCCCAAAAAAGCAGTAGTGCAAAAGGTGCGAACGGAGGAGAGCGGAATGACATAACCCAGGATTGGGTCGTTGATCTCAGCTCCAAAGGCCGCTTTGCAAGCGTTAGTGGGTGGTTTGCTACTTGTAGCAGCACGTAGACAGACCAGGACGAGAGGCAAAAGAGACGATGGGTGAGCGGTCCACAACCGAAACAGTGCTTTCAGCTCCGAATGCCCATCCCCATAACCAACTTCGTTCTGACTTTATCGACACCCTCTTCGTAGCGACAAGATCGGTAGGTCGTGGCACACCAGATACGAGGGTAACAAATGGAAAGAGGATCGGCCAGAGGACTGGCCTCATCAGCGTAAGAGGAGAGCAAGGAAGGAGGCACGTGTTTCTCATTATGCTTGGCATAATCTGAGTCTAGACTACAAATTCGACCATTGCACTGGCCGTTGACCTCTATCGAGTGGTCTCACACCTAGGTCGATGAGAGGAGCTAACGATGGACGACCGTGAGCGCATTGAAACGGGAATGCGGTCTTTGCTAAGTTGTCTACGAGTTTTCGGCACTGCGTAATCGTCAACGGATCATTGAACATGATGGCACCTAAAAAACCTCAGATATGGAACAGCCAGTGAAAGAGCCTAACCCCGACAGGCTTTCGAGTTCACCAAATCGAGCAGCTGTTGCGGACAGCATCTGAGGGCATTGAGCCAAGAAAACTCATCGTCAGATTCTTGCGTTTGCGGAGGTATCTGAATTGTAAACGGATCATCTTCGATTCGACCAAGGAAGCCCTTGATAAAATCCCGCAATTCGCTGTCCATCAACAACTTCACAAACCAGTCATTTTCTTGACAAGTAGACAGCAGCAGAAACCGCGCGTACCTTGTCAGCAACGACTTCCGGGAGGGAGTCAACGAAAACTTGAGTGTAACCACTCGATTCCACCGGTTTGTCTCCTGTATCGACAAATCCAAAGCCCCAATGACTGAGTTCTATTCCGACTTGCTGCTTTGCCAGATGCGAAGCTTCGTGACATGTCACCAGCACCGGAAGCGGAGGATCTAGCTTTCGGGTTTTTATCCCACCGTGCTCTTTGTGTGCGGCGTTTGCCAGATACCCTAAACACAGCTCCTTGAGGAAGCGTTCAACTCGTATACGTTCATCTGCCGCATGCTGGTCGATAAGCACTAGTGTGTCGTCGATCAAGCAGGCAACGAATTTGCGATCAATCTGCTCTATGACTCGCGCATTCTGTAGGTCCGATTTCTTGAACCGGTACGACGTACTACCAGCAGGATCTGCACCTTGCCGAAGATAGTCGGAAAATTGCGGCTCGTGGGTATAGCCGGGGGTAGTTAAATGAGGGATCCTCTTCTCTGCAACTGCAAATACGTTATTCGCCTACGGAGACCATTGAAAATAATTAGTCGTAAGACGAAATAACGAACCTCAAGAGCTTGTTGTATCCATTCAGGCATATTGTCTATGTCAACGTTCTGGTTTGAAAGTGTCCGACGCTGCACAGCAGTAGCCCGTTCCGTCTGCGGAGGGTCTGACTGCTTATACGAATTTCCCGTGCGCGTGTTGATGACATAGACATGGCCAGTATTTGGATCCGACCACAATACTTCATGTTCTTTCTGTAGGTCATTGAATTCGCAATTAACTGCAGGGTGCACTGACAAACCTCTCGCGTGATAAAAGGCTCTGGAGTGTTATACCTTGACGGTTGAAGATCTCTAATGGTGCTTGGCGGTTCCATTTCAGCATAGCCCGAGTCGTCGAAAGATTCATGTTCAAGTTTGTGTCGCTTGCGAGGCGAGGGTGACCCAGGACGAGGTGGCTCATGAGGTGTGAAACCATGACGAAGCAGAAAAGACCGAACGATTTCGATAAGAAGTCCCACCACAGTCGTCTTGTTCTACCCGAAATCAATGGAAAATCTCTGCAAAAGAGTGAAAGCATACTCGGATATGTACAACAGCTTTAGCTGGCTCTAGACAATTGTCTACATTCTGAGGCGGAACTGTGATATTGATAACATAGACAGCCCTTTTCTCAGTCTTTCGTGGTGACCGTCGGATGACTAAAGGCTAATGACCCTTGGTGCAAAATACTAGCGGAGGAGCATACCATTACGGACACTAGTTTCGCCATCTTCCTCGTATGCCTATAGAATATGAATCAGCTGGCTAACTTGATTGGTGGATACCTACATGTTTCGAAAAGGAACTGGAAGCGAATTGTACATCAATAACATGATGCAAGTCGCAGAGCGAGATTGGATGACGGTTAATATCTGGACCCAAAGGTTCAAGGAAGGAAATTCTGGCAAGTAAATCGCCTACACAAGAACTGGTATGCCTTGAAGCAAAGGTTGTAAGACCAAAGTTGCCAGAATGCGTACAATACCTTAGACTGCGCTCCGTCAAGACTGATAAATCCCTCGAACCGCAAGCCGTCAGATTTTAGGTCAACTTCTTCGACATGCTGCACTAAAGCTCGACCATACAAATGTCGGAACATGGTCAGTGTCGATGTGGTCTAGAAAGGCTGCTGTGAGTTGGTAAAATGATTACAGGAAAGCATACCTTCGGAACTCTGAGAACCATATCCCTGTCGTCTTTGGCGTTGTGGATATTTTTCAAGGAGAAGGAGACCTGGGGGAACACGAGCGCGAAAGTCTCGATTTGCCGTCGAATGGCGTCCATAGTTCTTGCAGGAGAGGCATGCGAGAGCCGACGCACGGGGAGCTGGAAGTGTGTTAGATTCAGAAGACAGAAATGCCGGCAAGGGCCACAGACATTATAGAACGCATCCCGAATGCATACGGTTGTTCCTGAGCTCTCTCGCCTCCATCGGACAGCCGGCCCTTTGTACAATGATTTAGAGCCCTGTCGACAATAAGAGAAGGTGGCTGCAATTGGAAGTTCCCTGACTTTTATGATGACAGACCAAGTTTCTTTGCCGTGTGCCGTCCGCGACGCGATTTCAAGGCAACAAATATCACCACAAGAAGCAAGAGCCTCTCCACGGAACCCAAACGTTGAAAGACTGTTCAACGAGTCAAGGGTGTAAGCCTTTGACGTTCCTGGTCTATGTTGGCGCTTATGAGCACTGCAAGAACGACACGCACCATATCTCCCTGCCTCTAGGCCGCGATTGAGAATGTCTAGTCCTTCCTTGCTCATCCCGCAGCCGTCATCGCGAACCCAGCAGGTCCATTCCTCGCAATCCACTCCAATGTCAACTTGTCGAGCGCCAGCGTCGAGAGAGTTTTGCAAAAGCTCAGACACGATTTGAGAAAGAGATGTGAGAATTTGAGTGGAACGAAGCTTGCTTCGCGTTACGTCGGGGAGAGGTTCGATCGCGTCCATAGCATCCTCATGGACGTCTGGGACAAGAGCATTTCGCGAAGTCACGTTCCTGATCAATCCACAAAATACAGTTCCTGGGTTCGCGGGCTATGTAGACACAACATGGACATACAAAACGGGAGTAGAATAGATGAATGTGAATGGAAAACTGCCACATCGCTACTTACCTTGGGCAGCTCGTCTCCGCTTTGCCCTGCGGATTTCACCCAGATCGCTGTCTATTTCACTCTCTTTGCAGCCTGTCAACGCAGCCAGACTCTTGCCCAGACCACCGATAGCTTGACTGAGATGGGTGCCACTACCCTTGTGTCGACGTCGACCATTAGCACCCACAGCTGGGACAGTGACAGGCACGCCAGTTGTACTTGAGGACGCCCCAGCGGTAAGCGACATGGGGAATGGTGAAGGAATCTCGTCGACCGAAAGTGAGTGTGGATTGAGGAACGGCCCGGTCGTGACCGGCAATGCCGGATTTGGAACTGCTGCACCCAGTGGAGTTGGCGGGGGAGATGTACCCAGTTTGTTGCGAAGCTTGCGTGTTATATGTGGTCTATTCTGCTCCATAGAGGCATCTGAAACATCAAATGAGTGGTGTACACAAGCCAACAACCTGAAGAAAGACGCACCTCCACCAGTACCTTCACCTTCCCTGTCTTCTCGGGCTCGACGGCGTCTTTCTTCAATTCCTTCGAGGAGCCGTTCTCTAACTCGATCGCGACCGCGCTTATATTCTTCTTCCACTCTCTGTCGCTCTTCTTCGAATGCCATAACAGCGCAGTCGATAGCATGCCTCTCCTCAAGCTCTATTGATACGAGGAGCGAGGAGCGCTCGATTGATAAGGGGAGAAGCCTTAATTCGTAGAGGGGAACACTCTCCGGCTTGTGGGCGAGTTGCGTTGCAGTCCGTTGCAGCATGTTGACAGTCTCGGTATATTGCCGGCTGAGCTCATTAAGTTCTTGGTGTAGGAAGAGTATGAATTCAACGCACGACTCGTCGCGACGGTCGCTCATCTCTTTGTTTAGTTTTCCTGATAGTTCCTTGCGTTTCTTGGCCGGGTCTTTTTTCGTATCTTCCACTGGGATGCCTGTTAGATGGGGATGCTATGAGCAGGCATGGGCCGGAATTGCAGCGTACCACGAGAGCTGGGGCCCGGTACAGGGTGGTAATGTGAAGAAGATGGGTAGGGGAACGCGTTCAAGTTTGGCTGCATTTGAGTCCTCGGTGGCACGTGATCTATCATGACTTTGCCTCCTGAACTGGAATGCATCATCGTGCGCCTCGCAGTAGGCGAAACTCTCGGCGAGCTATATATCGAGAATGGCTTTGGATGGGCATCTATAAGGTCCCTCGATAACCTGGCTTCTGTTGCACCGCGCTTCAAGGTTTGGGTGGATGAAGTGATCTATGAGGCAGTTGTCCTCGAAACCGACGAGGAAGCGGATTCTTTTCTGGAGGTCCTACAGTCGCCACTTTTCAATCGGAACATGGTGAAATTTCTCTGCATCACGTCTCACATTGGACGCGTACAAGCGAGAACGATTGCTATGACTTGCACGAATGTGCGAATACTCGCGTTCTGGGCGAACTCCCTTGATTTTCCGGATTTTTTTCCGGCGCTTAGTCTCCTCCCGCTTTCCCAACTTTCAATAGAATTCAAGCAATTCAATCTCATTCCCACTGAACCATCTCGGTGGCTGGGACTGACCCATCTCGACCTCGTCATGTGGGCGGTATCAGAAGTGCCTGGAGTAGACGCGGTTGCTAGTAGCATTTTCAGGCTGCCAGCTCTCACCCACCTCTCTGTCATGGCACACAAAATCATGCGTCAACATCTTGAGGCGATATTAGCAACTTGCACCAGCATACAAGTGCTTATCGCTTTCGACTCTGATTTTTACGATGAGGAACTAGAGGAAGATCTTGATTTTGACGATCGGGTGGTCATCCTTGACGAAACCCTTGACGAGGATATCATATCGGAGTGGTTCGCTGAGGTGCGGGGAACGAGAAATATATGGACAAAGGCCGAAGATATCATCGTCAAGAGGAGATCTCAGCGGGCTACTCAGAGATATCATAGATCTAAACCCGACTTTCCAGGTTAATCTACTAGTAATCCGCTGGTTTCGCTGAATAAGTTCTTCGCCTAACCCAATGGACTTCCTCTTTTGAATTTGTTACGGTCAAATGTGAAGCGTAGGTTATGTAAACATCAATCATTCAGGACGGATGACTTATAAAGTCCCAGTGACCGATTCAATCTAATTACCTTGGCTCAGCCTGTACTTGACTTTGAATAATAATGGTAAAACTACAGGTAAAATCTTGACCGGCAAGTAAAACACTTCAGATCGAAAGCACAGGTAAGTCCCGTCAACCCCTTCTCCGCCCTTCGTTCGCTACACCATATTCCGCCCCGACCCCAAACCCGGCACAGACCACCACCGAGCGGCCAGGCAGCTTCGACGGCCCGGCCACCGCGTCTTAGTAGTTAGTGTACTTAAGGTAGGGGCCGTGGGAACCCCGCACGTTGACTAATCCATCAATTGATGGCATCAGCGCCATCATTTGGCACAAGAAATTTTTAATTTCTATATTATGGCTCAAAAACTATGTGAACAACATTATATTACTTGATATGAGCAATAGATGCCTTTACTTGGTCAATCATAAACTGAGGAAGCATACGATGGCCCTTGTAGCGGCGCTGCACATAGGCAAGCTCTTCACCGTTAAGGCCACCCGAGTAAGCGGAGATGAAGCGTGCTGCACGATTTGCATATCTATTACAATTAGCTGAGAATAAGGGCACAATTGAAAGCACACCGTAAGATTGATAGCTGTGGAATAGCATCCAGTGCGTTCTTCATGTTTTCCTCCATTTCATCGATTGTTTTAGTCTTGTCAGATTTACGATAAATCGCCTTTGCTGCGCCCCAGTACATTTCTATAAAATTCAGTTCACAATGATATTTTGGATAGAAGTCGCAGACATGTCTGCGGCCTTCAACGAAGTTCCTGTAGTGCTGATTTCTGAGCCACAAAATCGGGCTGACAGAATATTGCTCGCCGGCAGTAGCAATCAGTCGCGTTGGGTTGGCACTTGAAGCCTGGGCACTGCGCATTCATCCCATTGCGATAGAGGCCACGCTCCCAGAGAATTTGCTCCATGCCCTTGAACCAGCCCGGCATCGTCGGGTGGCCTGCGGGCCAATAGAGCTGCTGCACAGATCCATCCGCCATCCGTCCGGGGCGCATCTTCGGACCATTGGCTGTGTTGGTCCATGTTGCGTGGGGTCCCTTGGGCATCTTGCGGGCAGAAAGGGCGTCAGCGGCGCGTTTTTGATGACTTGGCGCGTTGTCGAAGAGGAATAGGCCAGTGGCGAACTTGTGCGTTTTCGATTCAAAGATGTTGATTGCGTTATCGACATGGGCAAGCAGCTCGTCATTCGTGAAGTAGCCGTTGATAAGCCGCAGTCTGGGACAGACCAGGAAACGACTATTTTTGTCGATTTTGTTGCTCAGCGCACGTCTCAGAGTTGACATGAGTCCCGAATGGTCAACTAGGGAGTTACCTGCACAAGAACCTATCAAAATCCAGTCAAATCCTATCAAATCGCTCATGGTGATTCCAAAATCTTGACTAGGAAAAGTTCGCAGAGCCCGTTTCTCGCTAGAATCCATCCAATTCTATGCAAAATACCCAAAGGGAGTGTATTCTAAAAGGCATATTCGGTTTGGCGCTCAGTGGAGACTCGAGATCGACAACTCCTAGACTAGGGCCACCCCTATCTCTGTTGGTATCGATGACTGACATCATTGGAACGTGGTTTCGGATCATGCTGGAGGATCGGGAGTGCCAAGGGACGGTTGAACGGCGAAAACCTACTCAATTGATTGGGGCCTGGACCTGTGATCAACGGCGACTCTAAAACACTGTCGAGGAACTGATCATCTGAACATTGGAAATGCGCCAGGAGAGTTGGGACAACTACCGCTGAGGCCATACGCACAAGATACGAGTTATGGGTGTCAATCGAAAGCTGGGAAGCAGAGCTATCCACTTATCCTACTCAAGATCGAGGGATTCTTCACAAGCAAAACTAGATGGTCGTGAACACGGAAGATTTACACAGGTCATTGACTCCAATACACGCGATACCAGTCATCTGGACCTGGATTTTCGACTCTAGGCCGTATGGCGAAACGATACCTATACAATTATGCACATGGACGACTTTTCTTACTCGAGATTTTCCTTGATTCTATCAATTTCGTTTTAGTATTTATATCACTGTCTTGTATTTGGGGGATTCACGGATTGCCCCGCTCTACTAGGGCATCTGGGGATCTAGCTCGTCAAATCTATCTTGCTAGCTCTTTCGAAATAGTATTATCGCGTCGGAAGGATTATTGGTTGAGGGTTTCGGTTGCTGAATACAAGAGTTCCGGTTGCTGTTTATTGGGTTTCGGTTGCTGGTCGAGAGTTTAAGGCAGTTAGTTCCTGACTCGAGACAACTCAGAGGGTTTAAGGCAGTTAGTCCTGATCCAACGAGTATAAACTCTCCGGGCATCGTATTGGCGCTTCTCTATTGCTGAGTTTCGTCGATAGTACGCTTTGGGGCACAACAAATCAACGTTTTTCGCAAGAAACTCGTATCAACCCTACAACCTTACACATTTGTGCCAAGGCTCTGTTCACAGGGGTCTGTTCTCGCACAAGGAGTCGACGATATTTTGGGTTTTGTGACTTTTCCTACTCGACATTATACAACTTTCTCTCTATCTCAAGTGGAGTTTTGGTTGTTTTTGTTGGTTTGGTTAGTTAGAGGCTCATTTGCTTTGTCCCCCACTCCGCACTCATCACCGTCACGATTTTTACCTGCTCGGAAGAAGAGACGAGCCTCCCAGCTGTAAAATGTCAAAAAAAAGTGAAGCAGGAAGGCATCACGCACTCATCCAATCGAAGACGACCCCAGTGCGCAACTAGAAAGTCGGAAACCATTATTGAGTCCCCTTCGCCCTTTGCTTCTGGTGTCGGCTTAACCAGGGTGTTGATCCATCCAACCTTGCGACGGTCATTCTTGTAGAAAGTCGACTCATCATGCGTGACGGGAATGAGTTGGAGCCTTTGTCCGATGTACTTTCCTGTCAGCTTGAAGGCGTCACCATTCGGTCGTGTTGCCTCCCTTGCCATCGTTGTCGTAGGTGATGATTCTCGGCTCATACTCCTCTATCCATCACTTCACAAATGCGGCTCGATATGCCACCACATCCTCGCGCTCATGTCCATCAACATACATCCCATTTTTCCGAGCTCCAAACCGCCAATCCATCCGCTTAAGCCAACGTCGAGCGGTGCGGACAGAAATCGATCTCTTTTGAATGCCCGCCGTCTCCAGTCGTTCCTGCATTCCTGCAGACGCCACAAAATCGACGATGTCTTGAGCTCGGAAGTGCTTGTTCTTCGCGCAAACTGTCTGCAGGTGCAATTTGATTGCAAGTGCAAAGTCTTCGTCATCCAAAAGGGAGTCGCCGTCATTTACACTAATAATGTGCACCGGTAGCTTTCGAGTTGACAGAAAGGTGTGAAGCCAGTCGCGGATGCGACGGGCATGATGATTCCCAAGGCCCTGCGAATGGGCGATGAGAGTTGAAGCCTGGCGCCAGGTGTAGTTAAACGCGGAGCTGAGATAGATATTGAGGGTGCCATGCATCGAGACCAGACGTGTCCGAAACACGACATCTGCTTTCTTGTCCTTGCTCAGGACACTGAGCTGGGCAGCCGCACGGCGCAGAGCCACAAAGTCTTGGTGATGGAGCCGATTCAGCGCTCGTTCAGCAGCGGATTCGGGAGAGCGGTCGGGTGCCATGCTAGACTCAAGCGCTTCAAGCATCCCACGGAGATTTACATGGGCCAGATTAACGGGGTCCATGCACGATCCCAGAGTGCTCCCCGAAAGCTAATGTGGTGGGAGCTGAAGCAGAAGTTGTCGATGGTGGACAGCTAGGAAGCGAGTTTGTCGAAGGAGCGCGCGAGTGGGAATGGTGGATGGTTCAGAGACCTGTTGCAAGTTAATTAGCGTGTAGAACTTGAAACAGGCAGGACTGCCACGCACCTCTTCAATGTTATTGTTGTCCGGGTCCGTGGCAGAATGCCCATGAGTGTCGACTTCCATCTCCGTTGAAGGCTCGTCATCCACATCCATTGCGACTGTTTCCTGCCCACCCGATTTACGCTGCTGTTTCTCGGGCTTCCGCATCATGAACGCGAAGGCGTTGTCGAATGTTTTCATCTTCTTCTTCTTGGCCATTGTCTGGACAGCCAGTTGCGCGTGTCGTTGCTTCCCGTTCGTAAAGCTTTGCCGCTGTATTTTATCGGCCGTGTCTGACCCAGCGCGTTAATCCGCGTCTTCTCTTCATCTTTGAGAGCCCGATCTAGAGCCGCTTGCTGAGCATTTTCGAGGAATGCCCGGAATGTCGCCAAGCTTTCCTCCATTGCATCCTCATCTCCCACTGGTGAGCTCCCGAGAACCTCGATGTTGTTGTTGTTGTCGTCATCTGAGCTCGTGACCGCATCATCCACGAATGGGAACTCTGGTCCAAGCTCGACCTCCCACATGTTGTTTTCTGTCAGAAGTGCATCTGAGAAGCAAAGAGATGTCAGTCTTGCCGCTCGTTCTCAATTGACATGGCACACGCACCTGGAATCCCGTTGGCAGATGTGCGAGAGGCGGTGTGATGAGCAGCTGCACCATTGGCACGGCTGGCGCGTGCCCGTTTGATGTTCTTGCCCATGTGCGACGCGTTTTCGGCGGTGGGAAAGTATGTGACATGTGTTACTTCCGCTGATCCGGCGTCACGTGGGGCTTCGGACCGGGCGTCCCAGCGCCATCATTTGGGGTGATGAGCCGAGAAAATACCTTAAGCTACACCCCAGTACGGACCTAACAAATGTAGAGGGGTAGTCTAAGATCCTTTTCCACATATTTACTTGTTGAATATAGCCCCGCCCTCCCGCCCACCACTGGCGCATCAATCTGATCCAATCAGCTTAGTCAACGTGCGGGGTTCCCACGGCCCCTACCTTACTTGTTGCGGTATCTATAATATGAAAACAGCTCAGTGCCGGCATTGACAGAAAGTCACGCAAAAAGTCATGTGGACACACATGAAATTCACGTGACCACCCTTGGATACCGCCCGCCGGCTGCAAGCCGCAGGCGAGCAGCCGTGTGGGCGCTGCAAAAGCCTCTTATTATGTTCCATGCCACAGGCACGGACGATTATACTTGTCTTATATATTAAAACACAACTGTCAGAGATTGACGCAACGTGCCAGATAACCTGGCTATCTAATCTGGTGGGATTACTGATCAAGTCTTAGATCTGACCTGAACGACGAGAGAGCCCCTCTATCGCCTCTCTCGTCGTACCAGGTATGACCCCTGTTCATACCTACTTACCCATGTACTAATCTATCGCCTCTCTCGTCGTACCAGTCCCTGTACACCTTACATCAATACCATTTCTCACAGGTTATGGGCCCCGGCTGAAATCTGTGCACCAAGAACTGAATTCAGCCTGCAAATACACCAAAGCAAGCAACCCCTAGTATCCAACTCTACCAATCCGTCGTCGACAAACCAACTTCAGCCACACCTCTGACCCCCACAAACAACCACGTTCCCGTACCAATCCTTATTCATGGCGTCCGCAGACAACGAAAAAGAGTGGCGAGCACTCAAGATTACCCCTATCGTTGAAGGCAGCGACGGTAGCAACAACTATGCGGAATTCCGAGCAAAATCCAAATGCAAACTGGATGCAGCAGGTTACTGGAAGTATATCAACGGCGAAGAATACAACCCACCTGTTATTCCCAAGCTGACTCTGAGTCAGACCTTCACGGGCCTCGATGCTAACGGAGACAAGACCACCATAACCACTCGAGGCAACGAGGTTGAGGTGAATGTGGCGAAGAAGGCCGCAGAGGCTTGGTTGATCCAAGACAAGCGAGCGCTCTCGATAATCGTCGAAGCTGTTCCTATGGCAAAACTCTACGTTGTAGAAGACTGCAAGTCAGCACGCGAGGCTTGGATCGCATTGAAAAATGCGTACGAACCAACCAACACGTTGACAGCCGTTACCTTGAAAGGCGAAATCTCCTCGTGCATGTGCGGCTCCATGAATCCAATTGCGTGGAGAGTCACAATGCTGTCGAAGTACCAGAGACTCCGACGAGCCGATCCCACGATGATGCCCGACCACGAATTTGCGAAAAGCCTGATCACGAATATGCCGCAAGACGACAAGTGGCAATACTGTCGTGATTCGTTGCTGGAAGAGATGACGAATAGCGAGAAATTGGGCAAACCACTGAGCTCAGCAGTAGTGGTCGAACGGTTGCAACGCGAAGAAGGGAACAAGAAGATTCCAGTGCCGACTTCAAGCCCAAATGGATCGACACCAAACGCAGATGAAAGCGCAGCTGTCCCAAGCGCGTCATTAGCTCAGACAGCAAATCAATCTCAACGCAGATTTGATAGAACGCACCAGAGAAACGACCGACGTGCTGGCCCTTATGACCGGCGTCGTGGACCGCCAACACCTTACTACTCCTCCCAATCCAACTCAATCGGTGGTCGGATGTTTTGCGAGAATGTCGAGTGTGGGAACCCAGTTGGACACCGACAAGAAGACTGCGTGGCTTACAAGGGAGGAAAGGAGGGTCAGTATCCTCGAAACTATAGAGGCGCGCGGGACATTCACCTTCCACCGGACCAACGGACTGCAGAGCGCCGACGGCAAGCACGTCAAAATGCCCAAAGCCAAGGGCCACCAAGACAAGGTGGCGGTGACCGATTCGCGGGCATGCTCGACTGGACAGAGGATAACGAAGAAGACATCTTGGCAGTGATTAGCAACGAGACTGTGGGAGTGGATTATGCGTTTATGAGCGGTCCTCTGGTTGTTGAAGATGAAGAAGATGATGAAGGGGACGTCTGGGTCAACGCAGTCAATGTAGCACCAGTCGAAGAAACATCACGCACCGACAACATCTATCACGACACTGGAGCTTCTCGCCACGTCTTCAATAAACTGTCGTCGTTCCAAGGCTATAGATCGTTTCGGAACCCGGTGAATGTCTATGGCTTTGGAACAAATCTCACTACACAAGCTTTAGGAAAGGGACAGGTAGTGCTCGAAGGAACTCACGAAGGCGACAAGAAATTCTCAATTAGCAACGTGCTCCACATCCCTACGGCCCGCTGCAACCTCATCTCTGGGACACAATTGGATTTGAGAGGTGTGGAAACGGAAACCGGGGGGGGGCGCATCCAATACTTCACTCCAGAAGGCTTTCCGTTTGCGTCTGGCGAGATAGTTGGAGGCTTATACAAGATGAACGTGACCATCGAGGATCAGGGCGAAACTCCCGCGGCAGCAAATCTGTCCCAAATTGTCACCAATGCGACAATTGATCCCGCGGAATCAGAGTTTGCGCAGGAACTCATCAATTCGACAACGCCATCAACGTCAGGCATCCTTGGCACAAACGTCAATGACGAGGCCAAACAGGCGGTTTTTTTCCACCGTCTAATGGGCCATCTAGACGTAAAAAGGGCTCAAACGGGCGACTCTAGGGCTTCCTGTTGATTCAGTCAATATCAAGGACTGTCGGGTGTGTGCATTAGCCAACATTAAACGACTGAAATTCCCTTCTAAAGCTTCCAACCGTGCTGAACGTGTTCTATTCCGTATACATTCCGACATCTGTGGTCCTTTTCCCCCTGGCTACGGTGGCTTCAAATACTTCATCACATTCACTGACGACTACCGCCGATTCGCTTCTGTTTATTTCCTCAAAACCAAGGACGAGGCACTGAAGTGCTTCAATGAATATCGACTCGCTGCGGAGAAATTACTGGGCGTCCAGATCGTCTTCCTTCGCATTGACAACGCTCCAGAACTTATTCACGGCCAATTCAAAAACTATTGTCTCGAAAACGGCATCTCGTACGAGAAGACAGTTCCAGACGCGTCACAACAAAATGGCGTTGCGGAACGACTTAATCAAACTATCCAAAACATGACACGCGCAATGCTAATTGACGCCTCGCTCACCACCTGGTTCTGGCCACTTGCGGTACAGGCCTGCGTGCACATCAAGAATCGGGTTCCCCACTCAGCCAACGACGATGGCTCAACCCCCGTTCGAAAGTTGGTTCAAGCACAAGCCAGACCTATCCCATCTACGACCATTCGGAGCATTGGTAACTGTCCGGAAACCAAACTCCACCGAACAGATGAAGTTTTTGGCGCGAGGTGAAGAGGGTAAATTTGTCGGGTATGCGAGGGACGCCAAAGGTTACCTTATCTGGTTTCCCAAGGCCAAGACAATAAGACCACGACGCGATATCGAATTCCACGGCTTTCCAGAAATTCCACCCTCGACATCGATGACTGGAGAGTTGTGGGAGGACTTGCCCTCGGAAATTGAGGAGCATTTCCGAGAGCGAGAACCAATGCCCAAGGCGGTCGAAAGACCCACCTTCGAGCAACAATCAATGCCCAAGGCGGTCGAAAGACCCACCTTCGAGCCAGAGAACTTGTACGTCCGACCGTTAACGGTTGAGCAACACTTAACCTGTCTAACCAGGGGTCCCTCTAATCCGGACGAGACTTTATTACCATTACAAAGAAGCGCAACACCCGAGTATGTGTAAAACACACTGGGTCTATGCAGCTGACACATTACATTCCACAGACCCGTAAAGAGGGTACTAGACGAAGTAATGGAAGAAATAAATGCGCCTATTGCTTCTGCGCCGTGCGTTAACGCATCTAGGATTCGCTAACGAATACCTAA